TACAGTATGATTGCGTGCATTGGAGATACAGAATGGACATGCTCGAGTCGTTTTTTTCCCTGTTGCATTTACTTCGATCGATGTGGTGGAACAAAGCAGTTTTCGGGTTAATCATGTGGCGATGAAAATATATGATGTGTTGTTGTTGAACGATAGGTAAAGGCAAACGGCAAATTTTGGAATGATGACTACAATACTAAAATGTGAGGGGATGAATTAGTTGAAGCACCTGTTCTCTCAGCACGGACGGGCCGGAAAACAGGTGCAGAAGGTCCAGTTTATACTGAACATATTTTTGAAAATGGAATTAAGGAGAAAATTGGCTGAACTATAGACATGGAGAAAAAATCCAAGATGATACGAAAGTGAATTAGACATAATGTTTCATAGAATGAACGTAAAATTAATGACATCGATAAATAGAAAACGGCGAATCTGTTTTCACTTGACATAAGTGATGTTTATCTTCAATTGAACATTGCGTATCAGTCATTGGTTTCGTCCACATTGTTCTGAACGACTTGTTCATCATGAAGTTAAACGTCGTTGACTTTCCGCCGGCGCATTCACGCGAGCTTGGTTGTTATTCTCTCTCTTTTGTATAATTTGTGTCACTGGTGGCTGTTCATTAATACCGACATGGCTTTTTCATCTCTTTCAACTGCGACAGTGCCCGCTTCAGGGTCTTGAGCATACTTGAGACTTATGGTGGCAGTGATAGTTTCTACAGGCTCAATTCTGATCACGTGCATCGAATGCATCTCGGCTTACAAGGTTTTTGAGGGCTTAAACCATCCCATCAAGTAAAAGCCACCCTCTTCATTAACAGCATTAACAACCTCATTGACACTTTTTTCAATTCGATTGGGTCGAAAAAGGCCAAATGGGGTTTGATCGCAGCAACATCAGCGACGAAATTGGATAACACTGACTGGCAGTGGAATGAAATTTCGCAGTCCTGACTATGAACGTCCTGAAGTTCCTCAAATTTCACTCGCGCTGATATTCCATTTCTGCTATTTCCGTGTTTCTCAACGCCAACCCATGCTTTGTCATCATCGCCACCTGTGGGGAAACCGTCACAGAGGTAACCTGAGCAAACACGAGGCTGGACAGCTGCTCTTTCTAGCGCTAAACTCTTGGTCTTAAAAGCAAACCACTCCATACCGGTGGTTTTGTCCAGATCGTAAGGAGGCTTAACTGTTTGTGTAAGCCCATGGAGGTTTTCGGGGATGAAGAGCTCGCCAGTGGTGAGGACAAAATTATTCTCCTCGTAGAGCCTTCCTTTCACGTCAACTTTGATGAGCCACAATGGGGATCCGGGCGTAATGTGCTGGAAGTATCTGGTGGCAATTCTTGTTTTCACAGGCGTTGCCGTAAACATACCTACGACGTCTTTTTCGCCTGGAATGAGGAATACGAGGAACCTATCGTAGGTTTTTGCACGCCCATTCTTACTTTGTTGGATGAACTGGGCCGCGACCAGTTCTTCGTTCTTATAGGCTCCGAAAACTTTGTCACTCCCTTGTTGGATTGACTCAAAGGTTATGTCTGTGCAATTTTTCATTGTAGTGCGCGCTTCTGTCAGGGTGAATCGAGGCAACAGAAATCCGGACATGATTTTTAATCTGAAAAGAATAAAACATGAAGCAACAGGACACAATAAGGGGACACCCACAAGAACGGCGAATAGAAATGGGGAAACAGTTGGAGCGATTGGACAGGAAAAAATAAAAACCGAAAGTTGATTTTCTAATTATGGCTTTCAGTTGATAAATTGCAATTGAAACAAAAAACGAACAGACATAAGTCAAAAGCGGGCACCATTTAGAGAAAAAAACGTTCAAAGTTTAGAACCGTTGTGCCTTAAATTAAGAATTTTTAGGCCTTGTTCACAATTGCTCCACATTGGATACACTTTATATCACGAATTCTGAGAAATCTGGAAAACATCAAATAAGGCTTGTAGTCCAGCCGGTAACCGTCCCGAACTTTCAATAACAGAAATTCCATCTTTGATAGCGTCCGCAAGCTCACGGCGTTCTATAACACTAATGATAGGGTCGTAACTAAAGCCCGCAGCAAACATGACGAGTCCCCACGGTCGTGCGGGGCTGCTAATGATTTCTTCTCCTCCTTCGCCTGTATTATGATCATACCGTGTTTGCCGAATGTTTAGGGTTTCGTTTATGTATACCAGATGATTGATCTTTGTACTTATTAGGGCATAAACAAAGCCGCAAGATCGTGTAGGAATGATTGCTGAAATTGGCCTGATTGATGACAATGGATGCTCAAGAAAATCTCGATTAGAAGCTGTACTCAGGAATTGCTCAGCGTATTCATCCCAGGGAGAAGCGTGTTGGAGAAGGGACAAAATGTCATCAATAGTTTGTTGCTTGTCTCCAATGAAAGTTTTATCCGACAGTCTCCGGACACGACTGAAGATGACGTAGACTTGAGCTCGCTCCCACAAAACAAATTCGCTTTCTGTCAGGCTAACTCTTGTGACTAAGCGCGGTAAGGGGCCACCCATGGTCTTATGAACGGTCGTTGTTATGAAATTTTTAACAGGATTTTGTACTCTTTGCATGACTTGCCCTGGGATCACTGAACAAATCCAGGTGTTTTGCTCAAGGTTCTGCCATACCCAGCCAGATGCCAAGTATTCATCGGGAGTTATGGCATTTGTAGGCGTCTCTAGGACATTTGGTGGCGCTAAATTGATGCGTTGCTGTGTCTTGTTACCAAAAACACACAGTTGGCCCTGTTTAAATTTTTGGGTTTAATTATTCATTGTTATCAGGGGCACTGCGCCTTGGTACAGGTATAGTTGTGACGGTTCTGAGCAGAGTCGATCAAGATCTTTTGAGGCTTTATTTGAAGCAGGAAGCCAGTGGCCACTATTTCCCATTCTAACCTCCTCAGTGCTGGGAATAACCTCTACGTGCGTTCCTCGTTGTTGAAGCTGGGAAATTTTTTTCTGAACTGCTTTTCGTTCCGCACTACGTTTGCCGAGCACTAGAATATTGTTTTCCTCCAGATTGTTTTCAGAAGTTGAAGTGACATTTTGTTAAAATGTGCAATTTAATTTCAAATAATTCAGTGGCTGTCAAAGTATGTTTCGTTATTTTAAAAAGAAATTGTCGATCTGATTCGTTGTCGTATCGGACACATTGTTGAAAGCGGATGACTCTTACATCTGTAAACAGGCTGCATAAAGCTCAAATCGGTTCACCAAATGGTGGCTTGCACTGGTTTAGATCCCCAGTTGCAATAATAATTGTGCCGCCAAAATGAGTGGAAGACTCTTTCAACTGTTGTAATATTCCATCAATTGCAGCCATATATTTGCTGTTAATGAGGCCTATTTCTTGAAAAATCATAAAATCAATTTTCTTCAAAAAAGCTATTTTTTTCGGGACGATTATACAGTTTTTGTATGGATCGTTCTACTATAACGCCAACAGAATGCGCGGAAGACAGCGGCAAGCAAAATTTATCATCAATGTGATTTCCGGCCAATTCTGCTCGAAGGCCTGCAAGAGCAATGGTGAGAATATTCAAACCTCTCGAAGCCGCATAAATGGTAGCGTGTAAAACGACCGTGGTTTTTCCAGATTCGGGGTAACCAACATATAGTCGGTGCTTGCTGAAGACGCATCTAAAGAGATGGGTATAAAACTGAAAAAGTATTTTTTGTTGACTAGGCGCCTCGAACTTGGTTTCCCCAGTCTGGGAGACAACGTCAGATACGCTCGGCCATCTGCGCTAAATTTGCTGCAAAAAAATGATTTTTCAGTTTTTTATGATTTATTTTCACATGTATTACTTTTTTATACCGTTTTTCCCGGATGCTCAAACAAATTGAAAAAATCGTCTGCTCTTCTCCTTAAGTCAGGTACACTTGCAAAGTTTCAGAGCAAACCAACGGTTGGTTTTCGAGATCAGCTTCCCAAATGCTAACTCGGGTGAAAATATACTCTGCAATAAGTCGCGCCTCGGGGCCCCTACCCCGGGCACGTAAAAAAATGGCGCAAAACTGGCGTACAAATGTCAAGAATAGCTGACGGCTGTAGTAGGCTTTTCGAATAAGTCCAGTTCTTTTAAATAGTCCCCCTAGTCTTAGAAGCATCTGATGTCTGACGTTTTTTGAAGTCTTCGTAGTGATATCCAGATCGTTTTACTGTGGTCTATATGGGAACCTTGTTGAACTTCAAAACCTACCTCAATATCTTATAGATCAGCTTGAGAACAAATCACGTTCAGTTTAAAGCAATAGTTTAAGGAACTTTTCGCAAGATACGTGGATGTCTGACTGATGGGACTTGGGGATCACGATGGTAGCCTCGCGATCGTCTTTGGATGAATCTTCTTGTTTTTTAAATAAAACTATCTTTTTATCTTTTTAGGATGTGGTTTTTACATCTTAATCATTTAGTTTATGGTTTTCTTGCTCATTTTTGTTGGTGTCGATTTCTGATTTTCTCTGGAGGTCACTTTGCAACAATTTTCTACGATGAAGCACAACTCGGTGGCATAATTTGGGCTTTCTTTTTCCAAATCTTGTCTCAGTTTTGAGAGTTCTCAGCAGCATTTGAAAGTTACGTTCTGAACCAGTTTCTTGAACCTGGTTAGTTTCAACGAGGATAAAAAGTTTAAGATATTTTATGTTTCCAAACTTGCATTAAAATGAGCCTTAAAATCTTGCTTAAAATCTTGCCTTAAAAAGCTTGGCCGAATTACGATTGTTGGAACCTCGTTTGTTGTCACAATCACAATATTACTGTTCAGATATACCTATTGTACATTTTGACTTGAAACTAATGCAATGTTCAAATATTTTGTAATGTGTATAGTAGATATAGTAATAGTATACAAATAGTAATTATATGATCAAAAACTTGTTAATTCAATTTCTCGTCATAATTTCTTCATGAAATATATATAAAATACTACGTTGTTTCGGCTTGAAAAATTTTTAAGTTGAAACATATTGTGACATATTGATGTTCGTTTCAGATTTAGTTTGTTTTTAACCCAAATCTTTTAACATCTCGATATAGTACACCTAACTTTCTTTCTGATCTGATCTGAACACAAGTGAGCCATGAGCATTGAGAAAATGAAGTTCGAAGCCTTGCCCTCGACTGTTGTTCCCAAAGTGTATGACCTCACTGTGGACTCTGACCTGGTCAGTTTGACCTTTAAAGGCAAAGTGGAAGTGGAGGTGGAAGTGAACCAGGTATGGACCAGTAAAAAGATGATGATTACGCATGCTATTAGTTTTCGGTTTTTGAAATTCATTTTACAAAAATAACTTAATTATAACTTACTTACTTATTTATCTATCTATTATTACACAAATATTGCTGCGATGCAATTGTTGCGACAAAATGTGTTCACTTTGATCCAGCCAATAAGTACAGCCAATGCTAAGGATATTATCACAGACTTTTATATTACAAGTAGCACTTTAGCTTCAAGTTATCATGGTTCTGTAGCGTAGAGGTAGGGAAGCAGACCAGCAGCAAAATAAGAGGTTTCGAACCTGGGCAGGGTCGGATGTTTTTGATGAACTTTTTCGTATACTATTTAAAATGCATCCGCTCTATGAATTGAGGCATGTTAGTTGGTAAATTTCTTTACAAATTGAGTGATACTGCTAATGCGTCATAATTGGCTTGCGTCATAATTGGCTTTCGTCACTTAGCAGTTATGTAGACTCATAATTGGCGTGAGTCACTTGAAATTTTGTAGACTCAAATCTTTACGCATTCAGTTTTTCTCAGTAGCGTTTTCGGTCATATTTTTGCTTGTGTATGCGAAGTGCAACTTCGCCTCTGTATTTATTTGGCGTTTAATGTGACACTTAATTAAGAAGTCCCAATGTTGACATGTTAAAGCTTTTTCAACGTAATATTGTTGTTCTGTTAAAAGGTTGAGACATTGCAAGAGTTGAAAAGTTGACTAAAAGCAGCGTTTCAAAATCTGTGGGAGCGCGAATGCATTAACTCATACATTTTTTCCTATATTCGCAACGTAAAACTATCAATTTTTTTGTTTCACAATTTATTGAATTATTTTAAAATTCTCAACCCTATAGTGGGGTGCTGTCAGGGTACATTCAGGGGTTGCAAAACAGGCGTCCAAAAATGACTGCTCAAATCTTTTTGGTTTTCTCGTTTTTTTATGTTTTTTCATTTCTTTTTTCAAAAAACTTAGACAAAAAAAGTAACCGTCTTTTAATTTCTCAAACCTGTAGTCAGTTGCTGTCAGGGTACAATCAGCGAGTGCAAATCTGGCTTCCAAGAATGAGTGCTCAAAAACTTATGGTTTTCGAGACATGGCGTTTTTTATGATTGTTTCATTTTGTTTTCAAAAAGCTTTTACATAAAAAACTTACGGAACTTGATTTTCTCAACCGTATAGTGGGGTGCTATCAGGATACACTCAAGAGCTGCAAACCTAGCGTCTATGTGTAACATCTCAAATCCTTTTTATTTTCTAGGTATGGCGTTTTCTATAGTATAAAAAACGAATCGAACTGGAGTTTCTCTACCTTATAGTGGGTTACTGTCAGGGTAAATTCAGGTGTTGCAAATCTGGCGTCCAAGTAGGACTGCTCAACTATAGAAAACGCCATACCTAGAAAATCAAAGGGATTTGAGATGTTATACTTGGACGCTAGGTTTGCAGCTCTTGAGTGTATCCGGATAGCACTACACTACAGAGTTAAGAAATTTAAATTCGGTTAGTTTTTTTACATCTAAGTTTTTGAAAAAAAAATGAAAAAATCACAAAGAACGCTATATCTCGAAAATCGAAATGATTTAAGCAGTCATACTTGAACGCCGGATTCATCACTTCTGAATGTACCCCGACAACACTCCGCTATTGGATTGAGAAATTTCAGTTAGGTTAGTTTTTAACATCTAAGATTTGTGAAAAAAATGAAAAAATCATGAAAAAAGCGTTTTTCATGATTTTTTCTTTTTTTTTCAAAAATCATAGATGTTAAAAACTAACCGAACTGAAATTTTTTAACCCTATAGTGGAGTGTTGTCGGGGTACATTCAGAAGTGATGATTCCGGCGTCCAAGTATGACTGCTTAAATAATTTCGGTTTTCGAGATATAGCGATCTTGTGATTTTTTCATTTTTTTTTCAAAAACTTAGATGTAAAAAAACTAACCGAATTTAAATTTCTTAACCCTTGAGTGTGGTGCTATCCGGATACACTCAAGAGCTGCAAACCTAGCGTCCAAGTATAACATCTCAAATCCTTTTGATTTTCTAGGTATGGCGTTTTCTATAGTTTTTTCATTTTTTCAATAAATTTAAGTATAAAAAACGAATCGAACTGGAGTTTCTCTACCTTATAGTGGGTTACTGTCAGGGTAAATTCAGTGGTTGCAAATCTGGCGTCCAAGTAGGACTGCTCAAATTCTTTTCGTTTTAGAGATATGGCGTTGTTCATCATTTTTTCATTTTTTTTTTCAAAAAGCTTAGATGTTAAAAACTAACCGAACTGAAATTTCTTAACCCTATAGTGGGGTGTTGTCGGGGTACATTTATAGGTGATGAATCCGGCGTCCAAGTATGACTGCTTAAATCTTTTCGGTTTTCGAGATATAGCGTTCTTTGTGATTTTTTCTTTTTTTTCTAAGAACTCCCAGTGCATCAGTTTTTTTTATATCTTAATTTTTTGGGGAAAAAATCATATGAAACTCCATACCTAGAAAACCAAAGGGATTTGAGCCATGATAAATGGACGCTAGACTTGCAATTTTTGAGTATATCCGGATAGAACCACACTACAGGGTTAAGAAATTTAAACTCGGTTAGTTTTTTACATTTAATTTTTTAGAAAAAAAAAAAATCACCTAGCCCTGTTGTGTGGTTCTATCCGGATACATTCAAGAATTGAAAATCTAGCGTCCATTTATCATGACTCAAATCCCTTTGGTTTTCTAGGTATAGAGTTTCATATGATTTTTTCCCCAAAAAATTTAAATACAAAAAAAAATGACGAACTGGGAGTTCTCAACCCTATATTGAGGTGCTGTCAAGGTACGTTCAGGGGTTGCGAATTTGATGTCCAAGTATGACTGCTCAAATCATTTCGCTCTTCGAGATATGGCGTTTTTTATGATTTTATCCTTTTTTTAGATTGAAGAACTTAAATATAAAAACAAGCTAACAGAACTAGAAATTCTCAACCCTAAGGCGGGTTCCTGTCAGTTACACATCGGCGTTGGAATTTTACCCTCCAATTTTGAGATGTGGTGAGTTTTATCTGTTTTTTTCCAGAAACTTGAATTAAAAAAAACTAACCGATCTTGAAATATATTTTCTCTCTTATTAATAACTTTTTCAGAAAAACTTGATTTAAAACAACTAATAGGTATTGAAGTTTTTAACCCTATGGTGGGATTTTTAACCCTATAGCGAACAGAATAGGGTTATCCATCTGCCCTCTATTTCTATTTGCTCAAATCACTCCGTTTTTCGAGATATGGCGTTTTTTTATGTAGGTGCGAGTCGTGAGCTAGTTACTTATTATTGTTCTCCATTGGCCTATTGGTGCTGCATTCACAGTAAGCATGGTTTCTTGTTGGTCTATTAGTCTAATAGTCGATATTGGCAGGTTGTATTTTTGAGCAGCTACTTGGCATTTTAAAAGGGAATGAGGGTTTTTTGTTGGGAAATGATTATTTGGGGGCGCCTCGTTGTTCAAGCACTTAAGATTAGTTATGCCGTTGTTAATTGAGTTTTGTTTGTTCGCAGCCGACAAGTGAGGTGGTTTTGAACTCGCTTGACCTGGAAGTGGGCATGGCAGTGTTGTGTCAGGGCGACAAGTGCATGATGGGAGAAGTCAAATATCTCAAAGAGGAAGAAAGGGCAAGTGGAATAAGGTTACCTATTTATAACAGACGGAAAGTAAAATAGCACAGTAAAACACAGCAGTTTTCATGAGGGAAAACGACGTTATCAGGAACTATCTCATACATCACTACGAACAGGACTGACATCGCTATGAGCTTACTTAGAATCTTTTCTTTCAGAACTGTTTAATAAATCTAAACGTTATAATTTTTGGTGTGCTCTGTTTAGATAGTGGTGTCTTTCAAAGAGCGTCTATGTGTTGGTGAGGCCCATCTTACTCTCGAGTTCTCTGGAGTCATCACAGACCTCCTCTGTGGATACTACAGGTGGATAGATGACGTATAATATCTGTTTCTGTCTGCTATGATCGCAATAAGGTAGTGGTGTGAGCAAGGTTTTTTTGGGGGAGAGGTTTAGAAAAAGTACTACTAAAATGTTCCATATCACGTCGGTTTTTGAACCTGAATTGCTTAATGACTTACCCATCTCAATGATAAGCTTTGTTAGATACACAAAAGAGCCGGGGATGACACTCGGTCTTCCTCATAGCCGATCTCAAATGTATTTTGAGAAGCTTTATCGCAGAAAACGATCGCTCGGCCGTCTGGCAAGCTGCAAACAGTTTGCAGCAGGCCATACACCGTTGAAATTAGAGAATTTTGTCATTGACCGAAGGCTTTCCCGAAAAAGAACAATTCAATGGTCGACAAAAACAAGCGCTGCCTGTAGCAGCCTTCTCCTTAAAAAAGTCCAATTGATGCCATGGCTAAGGCTGCTACTGGCAGCGCTAGTTTTTGTCGACCATTTTACTGATCGCTGACTTTGTAAATGAAGTCGCTATAAATTTTTATGGTCAGTGGAGGCTTATCTGAAATAAAAAACGACCGAAGACGGAAACTTGCAAAATCCAAATTAAAATCTTGGCACCTCGAAGTCTTTACTGTGTAGATCTTGCATTTTCTCACATTCTATTCGTCCACACATAGCGACACTAGAGAACCAGTGTTTTTCAACACAAACACGTGTCTTATCGTCATCAGAACACGCAGGGGAACCGTCACATAGGTAACCTGAGAAAACTCGTGGATGCTCAGCAACTCTTTTTAGAGCCGAAATTTTTGTTTGAAGGCAAACCACTTCATGACGGTGGTGTTATCCAGGTCGTAAGGAGGCTTTACTATGTGAGTTAGTGCATTGGTATTGTCGGGAATGAACGGCTGGTCAGTTGCGAGGAGAAAATTATTGTACTCGAAAAGCCTTCCTTTGACTTATACGTTGATTAGCCTCCATGGCGAACCCGGCGTTTTCTGTTGAAAATATCGCGTGGCTGTTCTGGCTTTCAGGGGAGTTGCAGTAAATATGCAAAAGACGTCGCTGTCGCCCAGTATGTCAAAAACAACGAACCTATCGTATGTCTTTTGCAACCCAATTCGCACTTTGTTCGACGAATTAGGTCGCTCCCAGTTTTTTTTGTTTTGATAGGCTCCGTGAATTTTTTTCCGTTCGAATATACGACTAGCAGTCGTGTCATATCTGTGTCACTTCCATTTTGAGCTTTCTCAAAAGTGATCTTGCAGTTTTTGAGTACAGTGTTTCGAGCTTCCGTGAACGTGAACCGAGGCAAAAGAAATCCGGGCATGATTGTCAACCTGGAAAGAATATATTACATAAAGCGAAAGGACAGAAAAAAGAGTCACCCACAAGGACGTCAAATAGAAATGAAGAAACAGCTGGATTGTTGTGAGGGGGTGGGTTTGGGAGGACGTTTCTCTGCAATTGTTGATTCAGAAGCTGGTTGCCAACTCAGTATTTGCAGTAGTGGAGGTACTCGCCTGCTGATTGTCGACTGCTGCTTGCGTTGCAGGTTGACTGTAGCGCAACATTTTCACCTGCTCACGCAGTTTTTGTACATGCAGTTTTTGTTGCTATGCATGTCTTCCGCTAAATCGTTGTCATACTTCGACGGCTTGAACCAGCCTACAATATTGAACCCATCTGTCATTTAGAGCTTTCAGGACTTTATTAATTGATTTCTTTAGTTCAAGTTTCTGTTCCTCGCCGAACACTGTCGAACGGGACATCGGTACAATCGACGAGTATTTGATGCTTAGCTTCTGACAGCGTGTACCTTGAAAATATGAATGGTGACATGTTTAATGATCTGAAAAATAATTGTACAATTTGGAATCATTTCAGTTGTAAAGAACGACAACTCAGTTAAATTCGATGCTGTTCAAAAAACAAGAATAAACCATGAAACAACAGCACAACATTGGATACATTTTAAATCGGAGTCGTGAATCACTGCTTTATTCAAAACACGGAAGTTTTTGACAGAGTTAATTTTGAACTTATGGCATACAATGAATAAGTTGGTATTGAAATAAAACAAATGTGTTTAGTCAGATAACTGTGCCGCATTGTACACATCTCAGGTCTGCAAGTAAGGGCTGGCGCCGGTGGCAATTACTGGTCATCTGTTGCAGATAAGTGCGCCATAAGAGGTGACTCTTGGTTAAATGTGGCTGCATTGAAATGTGGTTCTTCGTTTCATCGCAAAATTCATTCGGCAACAATAACACATTTTCACAAGTTTTGGGGAACTCACACAAACATCAGAATTCCCCAGGGTCGAGAATTGGGAGTAGATTTTATTTTTTCAGTAGCTGTACAGTTGTGCTCGTACAGAGCTTGCTTCAGATCCGGCGCGACGCCAAGGAACAAGTATTCAGGGTTTTCGACCCTGATCAAAAAAATAAGCAATGGCCGCAGAGTGCTCCGGCAGAGTAGCTGCTATAGGTCGGAAGGCAGTAACGTGATGGACGGGAAAATAAAAATAATCCCTTTTTGTGACAGTCGCTAAAAGCGCTTCTATATATTTGTCCTATGCGCTTCTTTGCAGCAAATGCATGATGGCACTTAAAGTTTCTTTGTTACCCACAGATGTGATATCCGAAAAAATTTTTAACCAGACTGAAAATGACGTAAATTTGAGCTCGTTCCCACAAGCAGTATTACGACTCCGTTTTGCTGACTCGTGTAATAATTCGGGGAAGCGTTCCACCCCTAGACTTATGCGCAGTATGGCTATGAATTTTTAGAACAAGTTTTTATCTCACTGTTCTTACAGGTCAAATGACTCAGCCCACGAAGGCAAATTTTGTGCTCTGACTCAGTTCGAGCCTACAGATGCGAGGAGGGCGTTTCCCTGCTGGGACGAGCCAGCTCTCAAGGCACAGTTCGACATCAGCCTAATTGTAGACAAGGAGTTGACTGCTCTGAGCAACATGAATGAATTGTCCTGCACGCCACTGCCAAAGAACGACAAACGGAAGGTGAGAGAGAATTTGCCTTCCCATTTAAGGTGACGACAGCAGAAAAAAGAAAAGAAAAGTGTGACGACTGTGATAATTTACTCGAGGACGCTATTTTTTTGGCAAAGGGTCTTGTATTGTTTTAGGAGAGATCGGAAATTCAATCAAAAACCAACATTTTCATTTTAATCGAAGCAATGACCCGATCGCATTCGGGGCATTCTAGATCCACCTCTGTTTGAGATGCCATTTGGTTGTACTTGACCTGTTAAAATTGCGTTGTCCTAGATTGCTGAGCTGTATGTAGTGCTATATTTTTCCCTCTCAATAGGATGAATTGGAAAGTAATGATAACTACTTCAAGGTAGCCGTTATGTTGGTAATAAATCTGTTTTTTTTTCTTCAATTCAGGTTGTGAAGTTTGCACGCACTCCTGTCATGTCCACTTATCTGGTGGCCTTCAGTGTGGGCATGTATGAATACGTGGAGAGAGTGGACAAGAATGGAACTGTGCATAGGGTGTATGGGAATCATGGGAAGAAAAAAGAGTGCGAGGTTGTTTTTTAAAATAATTTTTAGGAAAGAAAGAACCATGATAATGATAGTCGTCGTGTAATTCAAGAGGTACGAGAGTCGTATAGACGAATGAACTCAATGAATGATTTTTTTTCCGAGTTTGAAATGTTCTCCCGATAAATGGAATTTTTCTATGATAATTTGATGCTTGAATTGTTGCTTATTATAAAAATTTGCAGTAACTTGGGTGTAATTTTAGTGTTCTGCGTTAATTTTGACATGAAAATATCAATTCTTTTTATCATGTTCCCATTTCCAGGCTTCTGCTGATATATCAGTGAAGGCGCTGCAGTTCCTGTCTGACTTCTTCAACATCAAGTACCCTCTGCCTAAGTGCGACCATCTAGCTGCGCAGAGATTTGATGTGAGTATCAAAGCTCCAATTATAAGTTCAAAGTCTGACATCACGTTATGCCATGAAATATTTACATGCATTTTACTAATAAGAGTCACTAACGTAATGAATACTGTTATATAGATCTTGATGATTTTTTTGTTTTTTTTTTCACGCTAAAGTTTGATTTATTTTAAAGTTCACTTCATTTCCTTTGGTATCCCTAATACCAAAGGAAATGAAGTGAAGTCCATGGAACAGCAGAATGTAAAGGTCACAAAAACCGATCGAATTCTAGAAATTGATCGACTTCTCTTTTCGAAAATGGAGTTTCTAATTATCAGATTACCCAATGAAATAAAAATTTTTATTCATTGATCCAGGGTTCTCAAATTGGGTAAAGTCGATTTAAAAGGGTTAAAATGGTCGAAAATAAATTGTTCATGAAATTGGAAGAGTTGTAAGGGAATATATTAAGGGAATATATTTTTTAACTTTTTAGGTTATATGGCAAAAGATACCTTATCTTGAGATCCAAAAAAAGATCCCAGCCGATAAGTTACCAGTTCAAGAAATACCTCGTTCTAAAATCGCCCTCGACATAATTCAACATAGTAAAATAACAAAAAAGAATAAAAGATTTGAAAATAAAGTTGGTTCCTTAATGAAAACAAATACAAAGCGTCGGTTAAAATCAAACAAACGACAAAACTTTTGCTGCACAAGTTTCGGAGATAAATGACCTTGCTAATCACTTGGCCTTCAATTTGAAACTTGAAGTTCAAAACAGTAGACTACAAGTGAACTTGAAGAGGTTTTCAATTAATCAAAACCAACTTTGCCAAAAAGTAGCCCAGACAAATCAACTCGGTACTTGAAGTTTTTTTTGAAATCTCCAGCTTTGAATTCATTTTCATTGTAAATTGAGTGACATTCTATTTGATAAACATTATCTTTTTCAGAAATAGAGGTATTTTTTTGAAAAATTGGATAGCTTTGAAATCATTTTCATTGCAAATTGAAAGCCGTTCTATCCGATAAAAAATATCGTTTCTCATTTTTGATCAATTTTTTGTCGCTAGACGCAATATTCAAAGTGCCAACAGGCCCCTATTCCCAACCTAGCGTCCCGTAAATAAGGTCAAATTCCGTAAATAAGGGCAATATTTGCGTTATTGGCGACCGGGATGGTACGGCTAGTTGGTTTCCTTGTTGTCCTGCACCTATTATGAACTAGCTACGATGATCTGGATGTTTGCTAGATTGAATTACTTTTGTTGAATTAATTGTAAAGCTCCTGAGCGTCCTGCGTTGAGTTTGTGGTTATGCTTGGTGCTGTTTGAAGTTATCATTAATTTTTGCGGAAACTTATGATTTCTATTTGCCGCAGCGCCTGTTGTCTTTTTATCACGCTGTTGTTCTCTTCGTATCGCGCTGCTTTCGAAATTCACGGCCGTCAAGAATAATGTAGTGTTTGGTCTTTGTGTAAAAGTCCACAAGTGGATCATTTCAATTAAACATTCTGTATTCATTATTTTAACTCAAAGAATAGTCAAAATTTTTTATTGCTGTTTTAATTCAATGCCATAGTAACACTGAATTAAACCCATGCTGACAATTTGTTAATCCAAAAGTTGAGTCCGGATCTGATTTGGTTTTCTTAGATTTGCGTTGATCATTAGAAGCGCGAACCTAATTGAGGTACCATTACTCTAAATTTACTTGTGATTACATTTTGATCATGTTTTTGTTCATACCTGATGGGATCTTTTTAGTTAGCATGGGATCTTATGGTATATGGGGACTTTAAGTACATTAGATTTTCTGGTCCGATCTCTTTTGGGATCATGGGAGCTTTTGGTATGGTATCTTTTGTCTGGACACTTTTTTTTGTTTCCTTGCGTTCTTTACTTTTTTCCAACTGTCAGTTGTTCATGTTTGCGTTCAATTCAAGTTGGCAAAATGCATTCTCTAATGATGAAAGTTTAAATGGCGCAAAAAAACACTGTCGAGACTGCGAGTTTTAATTTTGAGATTTCTCAGAGGAATAAAAACTTTTCCTAATAATTAAGTTTTCTCAATTTCGGTTAATTTTATGAAAAGAAGAGGTTTAAAGCCACAGTTTTTTTGTTTGAAATTCGAAAGTTGATTTTTTTAACAACTAAGTCGCTCATTGACTTTTGTTTTGTTTTTTTTTTACACGCAAAAGAAGATACCAAAAATAACCATCGAAATGGGTCGAGTGATATATCATTTTAGCGTCCTTTCAGTCGTGATTGGAACATTAAAAATGAATAAAAAGTTCAATCATTTTTATTTAAACAGATATAATAGCCTTATTTTTATAATTCAAGATAAGCTTTAAAATTAGTTTCTCAAAAGCAAGTGATTTTTTTTCGGTCTCATTGCGTTCATTGACTCTTCAATGTTGTTTAATTTGTAAATGGCTCGAGAAATTTTTCCGTGATCGATTTGAAACAGTTTTTTTTTATCTTGCATGATGTCGAGCGTAGAAGATCGAAAGACGGAACAACGTTCACCTCTTAGGAGATTGTTTTTCGAGCTTTTTACAAAATGAACATAAAAAACTGGTGGTGTCCCTCAAGAATTAATATTGACCAATTAGAAAACAAGCAGATACAAGAATCTTCTATATTACTGCGAAATCAAGTTGGGAATTGGAAAAAACCTACTACTAATTGTACAGCAAAACTTTGGTGTACTGCTCTAATTTATTTTCTGTTATTGACATCGTTTTTGTGCAAAAGACTGTTTGCCAATAGGAACGTCTAATAATTCGGATTGGTTGATGGACATGTTTCCGCTACAGTTTCAAGCAATAAATTTAAATATTGACGGTTGAATGCGTGTTTTTTGTGAATGTTTCCAGCACGGTGCTATGGAGAACTGGGGTCTGGTGACGTACCGGGCGAGTGCCCTGTTTATAGACCCGGAGGGGGCATCCGACTACCACATGCAGAGGGTGCACGAGATAGTGAGTCACGAACTGGCCCATCAGTGGTTCGGAAACCTCGTCACCATGCAGTGGTGGACTGACCTATGGCTCAACGAAGGTAATTTATCATCGATCAAATAAATGGCACATTTTGCTAAGTTTCCAGCGGAAGAAAGAGTTTTGTGCAGGGCAGTCGACTTGGATGCTCGAGGCCTGTAGTTCGTTTCCCGTAGAGGCTATTTATTTTCGACAACTCAAAAATTAATTATGACCATTGAAACTTCGTATTCGGGTGTGTTTTAGTTTTTTCTTTTTTGTTTTCAACGCAAAATCAGCTATCACAATTAATCATCGAAGAAATTTGAGTGGTAAATCATGTTTCAGTCGTAATTCGAACATTAAAAAGTGTCCAAAAATTGATTATTAGTTTAAGTTTTTTGAGCCTAAAATGATTTTTTTTAAAAATTCCATATAATGATCGTTACTCCGTCGTGTCTTTTGCTCCAAATTAAACTAAAAATCAAAAATTGTGAACCAGTCTTTCTCTTTCGAATCACGACTCAAAGGGCTTTAATATGATATACCATTCCATTCTCTCCGATAATTATTTGTGGTCGCTGATTTTGCGTGGTTACGCTCGTTAAAAGGAAATTAACAACTTTGAAAAATATTTTTGGGCTCACAAAACTTGTTTTACTCTCGAGAAAACTAGTTTTGGATGTTTCTTGCAGCGCTTGTTTGACAATAAAGATGTTCAAACAAAATTAAAACTATTGTAACAAAAAATAAGAAAAAATTTAATGGAATTTTTTTGTTTGGTATTCATTTTTTGAAATCAAATTTTGTCGATCATCCCAATTAACTAATTCTCTACGAGATCGTAATTCTCCATTCTTACCACGTACTAAAAACGACGCTAATTTGAAGTTAATGAAAAAAGTTTTTTCTATTTTTTTTACGAATATGGTGGGAATACTCTGTGCTACTTGCACATCAACCGGCTATCCTCATTAATGCTTAACTTTGTTTCTCTTTGTTACCTTTTGAGAACTAATCATGTCAAATTTATTTTGATTCGTTGTAGCTGCTCCGTGAACAAATAAAGAAGACAATTGCTTAGGATTTCAACAAATTGTTCAAATTTTTTGGTTGTGCGTTGGTCGCCTGATGCCTGTCATGTGACTCGCACTTCCAGAGCGTTAGAGCCTAATCCTCGTTTCAACTGGAATAAGCACGGGCTCTTTTTTCCAGATTTGGTGTGACATGTCGCTCAGGTTGCCACAGTATCGTTGAGACAAAAGGACACCCTTGTGAATTTCGAATGAGGTGGTTCTCCGTGTCCGCAACACAGCTGTGATTCGCAAGGGTGTGTTGTGAACACGGCAAACCACCTCATTCGAGATTTTGGTGTCTTCATCGAAACTAAATCCCATGAATAAGGCTGCACAGCTTGTTTGCTTCGGCAAAATGCAGAAGAGAAAAGATACTTGGAGGAACGCACAATTTCGCTTCGCTAGCTATTGGCATCCGCGCCATTCAGTATGATTCACTTTTTCAGCTCTCGCGCTTACTATCATGACTGTGATATATTTTTATCACTGTATGATACATCTATATGTAGATGAGTCAGAGCAGGACCGCAGCGAAAACTTGTGACCAACTGCATCCACTCAGTGACTACTGAAGGGAACAGATTTTTGCGTGAGGTGAAAGTGAAAATTGCAGCAGACCAAAGAGGGTAATTATCCCGTCGAAAAAAGCTCACCATAATATTCTCAAGTCGATGATAAAGAAACTCTCCCCGGATTGCGTGGGCTTAGTTATTCGATTCACGCTGAAATTGCTATCGATTGCTAGTCTGCTGTTCTGACTTTAAAAATAGCTCGCTTGCGTTTCTTCGTCTTTTGCTATGAGGCTTAATGATTTTCCGCAGTGCTCTAAGGTATAGCGTACATACTTGAGTTGATTCCGTTGATGTATGGATCTAGCATCGACCAACGTCCTTCACTGGCAGCGACTATTCGAAAATTGTCGAAGAATACATCATCTTTGCTAGCTTAAAGATGTGCTCCTTCAAATTTGATGTGAATTTTTGAGAGTAACAGTAGTTGTAGAGTCAGTTTTTCGCCCACAGACGCGGTTGCACGTTCCTCAACTCCAGTCGAAACGATGTATGCCGCTGATATCACTGTCTTGGTTTATTATACTTATCGATTTATGCTTATGGGTGTAAAAAGTGCGTCTTGTCATCTTGATAGGACAAAGTCATTGTCAATCAGGTTGGTAAGATGCATTTTTAACCCAAGCCTCTCGGTTACTCGCGCAGAGCAAGAATAGTTGTACGTTATGAGTTACGCTTGAGTTTCACGTGACAGGCAGCTGAGGTAATTTTAGGCGGTTCGCACAACGTTTTCTTCAGTGTTCTTGCTGGCTGCTTTATATTTTTCTATCTTTTCGAATGTGGAATCATTTTGTAATAACAAACTATTACTCATGTTGTTCCGGCCATTAAAAATGGGGAGGAACTTGTATTCGGGTGTGTTTTAGTTTTTTTTTATTTATGTTTAACACTCAATATCAGGCACCACAAATAATTAAAACAAACCACACAACAAACCACACATTAAAAAAAGAGAAAACTGTTTGATTGAAACTTTTTAGATAAGTTCAATTTTGTTCATTGACAATTTTCCATGAGTCTGTTGGCTATGTTTTTTTGCGTGGTCGAAAGTCAAACAAAAAGTATTAGATGAACCTGAAAAAAGACGGCTGTTTAGGATTCGCCTCGTTCATGCAGCACCTGGTGACTGACCTGATCAGGCCGGACTTCGAGATGTGGACTCAGTTCGTCAACGGTGCACTCACCTCCGCCATCACCCTCGACAGTCTCAGGAGTTCACACCCTGTAGAGGTCGTCGTAGGACACCCAAGCGAGGCAAGTATTTTACCGAGACAATCCGCATTATGTAATTGAAGTCGCCAATTGAAAAACATTGTACGGTACTTGAAATATTTTACGGTGTAATATCGTAAAATATGGTAAATTGGATATATCGTTTTTTTGTCGACGTTTGTAAAAACTTTTTAGTGCTAAGGAATCAATTCACAGCGGCGTTCACGGAAAAGACAAAATTCAAAAAGACAAAAAGATGTGGCTCATATTGTGATAGAAGAGTGTTTCATGAGTAATCATTTTGATTCAGGTGAACGAGATCTTCGACGCGATTAGCTACCAGAAGGGCTGTTCTCTCAACCGCATGGTTTATTTCTTTCTGGGCAAAGAGAAGTTCACTCAGGGACTGACCAACTATCTCAACCATTTCGCATACAAGAACGCATGCACGAATGATCTGTGGCGCTTCCTAGGGTCAGTGCTTTTAGTTTCAAAATCATTTTTGGTGGCTGACAGAAAGTCTTTTTGACAAACTGTGGTTTCGAGTTTATGTTCAACTTAATTTTCATCTTAATTGATGTTGAGCCATTGTGTATACTACACCTAATCTTTGGGCTTCTGTAACATTTAAGTTTCTGGTAATTATTCCAGAGAGGCAGCAGGTTTGGATCTGCAATCTATGATGACCTCATGGACTAGACAGACTGGCTTTCCAATGGTATCAGTGGAGGAGATGAAACAACTAACGTCCACCAAGCGGCAGTTCAAGCTTACTCAGAGACGCCACTTGGACAACGGAAGCGAAGACGAATTAAACACTCTGTGGAGTATCCCTATATCAGTCATATCGAGCAGTAGTCCGAAAGCACCTCTAGTTCATATTGTAATGAAGGAAAAGTCTGAAACTATCGAAGTAGAGGGAGTCGAGGAATCGGATTGGGTCCATTTGAACCCTGATTTTATAGGAATGTATCTTGTAAAGTACCCGAAAGAGAATATAGAACTCCTGAAAGAAGCGGTGAAACAATCAACTAACGGTTTAGTTTTATCGGCTGAGAGTCGATCGTGCATTCTGTTCGAGATGTTGCGCCTGGCTATTTCGGGACAATCTTCTATTGTAGAACTACTGGATATGATTACAGTATACAAAGGGGATAATCACTATTTGGTTTGGAACATAATAGTGACTGTGTTTGCTGCTCTGGGAGCTGTGTTTCATGGATCAGGATGTGATGATGAGAAAGTGAAGAAGTATAAATTGAGCGTCTTGGAGCAAATTGCGACTCAATTTGGCTTTGAGGAGGGAAAAGAGTATGTATGAAGTTTCTGTTCTTTCCAAACATTTGTAATGCAAACTAGTACTGCCCGTGCTGGTATCAAAGTTTTAAAACAAGAATTAAAATTGGAATAAACAACAGAAAAACAAACACTACGACATAGTTCCATCCCGCCTCGTGATGTGGTCGGAAAAATAAAATTTCATTATTTGACTGGAAACCGCTGAAACCTCTGATATTTTTCACTGAAAACCGCTGATAACTTTCAGCATTCGCAAATATTTTTATCCGCCGATTTGGTTGAATTACAGAATTTTGTGATGGTTTTTGCTTTAGGAACTCTCACTTGGTCGCCATGTTGCGCACTTTGGTGTTAAAAGAATTGGGAGCAAATGGACATCCAAAAACAGTCGCACAGTGTCGAACTCTGTTCGAAAAACAAATCAAAGACAGTGTACCAATTTCAGTCAAACTGAGAGAAACTGTTCTGAGAACAGTGGCTCGAAACACGACAAGTGTGGAGGACATTGACGCCATGAAAAAGCTGTACAAGGAGTCATCAAATGCGGAGGAGCAGCGGAGTGTAGCGATGGCTTTGGGAAGTGTGCAGACGGAGGAGTTGGCCAAGAAGTCACTGGAGTTCATGTTGTCGTCTGAAGTTCCTAGTGGTGGCGATCAAGTGTATATGTTCATGAGTTTCGCCTCCAGCTACCAATTGGGAGACTTCCTGCTTAAATACTGCGAGGTAATATTTTCAAACATTTTGGTTATCTGTGCCAAATATAGAGAGAATATAAAACTGAATAACGTTATTAGAGTAGATTTAAACTGAAGATATTTTTTAAGTGAAAATCACTAAGTGATAGGAAAACTCAGAAAATTGCATATAATCAGGGGCGGATCTAGGATTATCTCGAGGGAGCGGATTTTCAAGAAGTTTCGAAAATTGTGTCGACCTTTTTTTAGGTTGACTAAATTGATTTGCTGAGCTGTCCGAAATCACTCTAAAGACCCCAATTCGACAAAATTTTCTACGACGCTGGCAAATTTTGAAAAAAAAAACAGACCAAAAAAAACGTTTTTAGTGACCCCCTAAAAATTAGTATATTTTGGCGCCAAGAATCATCAAGAATAGCCGGTTACTGTAAAACTTTTTTTCTAGAACTTATGAATAATCAAAAATCATAATAAATTTGAAAGTGTTTGCGCCTTTCTGGGAATAATAAAAAACTCCCAGAAACTAACTTTACTCGAGTAAAACTAGATTTTTGCGGCTTCATATAAGCATAAATAAGCTTTTTTAAGCCTGCTGCTCGCTCACCTTACTCGCTCGAAATTAGACCAGATATCTGAAATTTCAAACGGGCTTTTCTCGACACTGAGAAATTTTTAAATGTAGTTCGAACCACGACTGAAAGAAGCTTTGTTATGATATATCACGCGACACTTTCCGATGGTTGTTTGTGGTACCTGATTTTTCTTGAAAAACAAAAGAAAAACACATGAAATTTTCAATTGTTGGAACAAAAACTAAATATGTTTTCAGTTGCTGCAGTAAATATCAGTATAGAAAAAAGAAGCCGTTAGTAGTTGATCATCAGAAATCGAATTATTTGAAATCTAAAGGAACGAAAGTGCGAAGTTAGGTGTAACATATTCATTTGGCGCGGAATAATTGGTCGCGTCGCGGAATAATTGGTCGCACGCGACATGTGGTTTCAAGCTGCGAAAATCGCTTACCATTTTGACGTACCTTTCTTAATGTACATTTTAGGGGCGAAATGTGCCAGTATTTTTTGAGGGGCGAAATGTGTGAGTACAGTTTCATGTGGATTCGATAGAGAATGTATGCTTAAAAAAATCCTGACTGAAAATTATAACGTTTTAGGATAACTTTGAGAAAGTGAGTGAGGCGTGTGGAGGCGTGAAGTCAGCTTCGCTTGCCAATGTGCTCAAAGCATGCACCAAACCCTTCTACAGTCTGGAACAGCTGGCTCCTGCAGACCGCATCATGGAGAAGCACCACGTGGACACTTTCAAGAGGGGTTTGGACCAGAACAAGGAGACAGTGTCAATCAGGGCTGCACAGATAGCGAGAGAGGGTCATGCTTTGAAGACCTTTATTGACCAGTTTTGATTGAGCTCCACGTTCAGCGCACTTCTTTTAACTTGAGAACTCAACAAATTACGTTCGAAAAATTACCATTAATTTTATGACCCTTGTAAAAAAGTGTGTAAAACGCCATTAGTGATTGGTTTGTCGAGTATCCGTAATATTTGTTAAATAAGGCTTGTCAAATAAGGCTCACTAATAGATTGTGCAGCTAAGTGTACGAGTGTACGCAGTAGAAGGTTTAATAAATAATGCAGTGAATATTGATAAACAAAGCGCTTAAACCTTGATAATTATGAATTCAAATCATTTTTCAGAATCAAGCTTTCCTTGAAAAGGAATTGCTCATTTCAATTGATGCTGTTATCATTGTTCATATCAATGTAAACAAAGATTTGCTTCTTAATTTTCATCGAAGAATTCATTATTGCAACAATGATTTTGATTAGGGGTATTCAGTTGGCTTTGGATAATTTTTTTGCAATTCAATGTGCTGCAAGTAAGCTCTTTGAATTCGAGATAAATTCGTTGCTTGTGAGCTCAAGTCGTATGTGCAACTTCTATAGCATGTAAGATACTGAATGTTTTTTTTTTTAATTCAAAAACTTTAGGTTAACATGTCTAAAAAAGGCACCATAAAAGTTTTTGTTATATTCCTTGTTATATTTAAACATCATTTTTAACAGTCGAATCGGGCTAACACTAGACAAAAAATGATGCCATGTTCATTCTATCAAGTAACTTTGAATCAGAACAGGTAGTTTGTTGAGCTCAAAATGAATTGAAGTTTCGATGCACTGCTAAAAAAATGTCAGAACAAAACACAATCCAACTTTTTCAAATGTGTCATCAGAATTTGGCTAATTTTTACTGTCTAGTGCAAAAAGAATGGCTTCAATAGCCTAACTGTTAGTGAAATGAGAGGTGATTCATGAAACACTTTTGAAAACCCCCCTGTTAATATAGATTTTACTCACCCTGTCAATATAGAATTTTCCAGTGATTATTAACAATCAATAGGCAAAAACTAAAACTCTGAGGCTTGAAAAAGTGAAATACATTTTAAAAATCCGGTTTCTATCAAACAAAAATTTCATGGAATCGGGTTTATGTTTCTGTTTTTTAAGACGCTTTGAAATTTTTTTTTTTACTTAAAAAAATTTCCTTTTCCTCAAAAACTACTCTCCAGATTTCCAGAAAAGTGGTACCAATGGGAATTATGGCCACTCACGTGTGTGCCTGCATAATCCCTTAGTCTCTCATTACCTTACTCCACTTTCTACAGCCTTCGACAAAGTGTGAGCTGATTTTTTGACCTAATTTTTTGGACTTTTGATATCTTCTGAAAACCTACTCTCTCAAAGCTGATATTTTGAATTCAATGAACAGAACGGGTTATGGAAAGCTCCCCTGAGTAATCAGCTACGCCCAATTTTTTAACACAAAAAGTTGTGACCCTCAAAAACGTCAAATTCTCACTTTTTGACCATGTTTTGAAAGTTTTTGACTTTTCTCGAAAACTATCCTCCCGAATCTGAGATTTTGGTTTCAATTGGTAGAGCGGGCTGTGGAAAGTTCCCCTGCATAAACATCTTTATCGAATTTTTTAAAACAAAAACCTTTTAGATTTGTTGTCCGTTTTTTATTAAACTACTTGACTCATCTCGAAAACAACAACTCAAACTAATATCAAGGGTTTAACCAAGGCACAGCTTGTGCGAAGCCTTTTGGCATCAAGAGCTACGTCCTTAAAATTTTTCAAACAAATTATTTCTAGAAAAATTCCTAAATCACAGTAATTCACAGTTGTTCTGATGCGGGATGAAATAGGTAATTTCTAAGTTTTTAAAACTTAGTTTTTGCTCTCTCAAAATATGAGACGAATTTTTAAGTTTTAAAAACTTTGAAAGTACCTATTTCATCCCGCATCAGAACAGTGAAATTATAAATAATCAAACAGGTGGGTAAACAAGTCGACTTGGAACTAAAATTAACGTTATCAAGGTCATATTTTTCAAGTTCTGTCTCATCAATTTGGTCCTTTAATCCATGAGAGAAATTTTTTATTCGCTTTTTGGAGTCCAAATCACAGCTTTAAAGGCTTTGAATGACACTAGACATATTTACTTTCTTTCTTTGCTTTCTGTGATTAATAAAAACCTAAATGATAAAATTACATTTCACGATAATGGTTGCGCATCATTCCGTGACCTGGCTAGAAAACAAAAACGCAAACCGGATGGGCATGACTTTTCCTCCTTTCCTCAAAGTCAACAATTGCATGAAAATTTAGTTGTGCCTCTAGTTTTATAGATTTAAGATTATAGGTCAGACTCCAGTCAGCCTTGGTACTGTAGTGGTGCATGGCTGAACATGTTGTAATTTAGTACCACACTTGAACCCCTTCCAGATATTTTGGGGCAACTAAATTGGCTGAAAAAAATAAGTCAGAAGACGTAGTTCCTTCCCAGCCGAAGGTCGGAGCAATAAAAATTCACAAAAATTTTTACCTATGGAATTCATTTTTCTTTGGAGTCTACTGCAACATTTTTTGAGAGCAAGGATTATTCAATTACAATAGAAGCAGACATTATATAATAATTACTAGTATTATAATTGAATTAATAATCTAATATACAATACATCAAAAATAGTTCATAAAAAAATAGGTTCATAATACTATAAACACAGGGTCGAAGCTCAGCTTCGCACCACTTGCGATACAAAAATTATAGAATAAATGCACAATGACGCTAGAAAATCAGCAAAAAATTTCTTCGAACTATGTTCTAATTGAAGATTGAAGTGGAAAAAAAGAAATACTTCTCCTAGAACCTAGTGTTGTTAAACTAGAGGTCCTAGTGTCGTTAAATTTGGGCATTCTAAAAATTGATGCCATAATTTATTGATAGCTAAAAAACTGCAGAACAGTTTTAGGAAAAAATGGTAAATAAGCCGACAGAATTCGAGCCGACATCGAACAAGCTGAAACTCAGCCACAGGATCCACGATAATTATATAAGCGTAATCGCAAGGGTAGTTGTAAGCAGACAGAATCACACAATCGTAAATAGTTCTTGAAATCCACTTTCTTTACAATTATCGTTACAGTTCACGATTATCCATTAGTACGCTTGCGATTATGAGTATACAGCTATCGTACATTCTATGTGTGTGTTACAAAGTCGAAAGTTTGGAAAAAAACAAGACAGAATTTTTTTTCTGTATTTTTGCGTTCTTTGACTCTTTTCCAAATTCTGTTTTTCAGTTGGCAATAGGTGTGGCAGGGGCACGTATGTTGGTAATCAAGTAAGTGCAAATCCAATCACTACCTATGCCTATTTTAAAAGCCGACTTAGTTCGTTGCCCTACTTAACCGCTACTGGTAAGTATGTCAACGAGCTAGATCAGAATAATCAAAGGTCATTTTAAGCATTGAGAACTTTATGATATTAAGATAAAACTCATTTCGATTCACCGCTCGCAATGTTCATTTTACCTGGGTCGAAAGCAAATTCATTTACGTTTTTTGAGACATTTGAAAGTTCGTAATTGGAGACTATTGTCGTATTTTGCCTTCCTTTTAGCACATGAGTCTTTGTTTAAAAACACTCACTCAAACGTGAATATTATGAAAAATTTTATTGGATAACTGAGTAACTATTAGTCTAAATTATAAAAAATAGACGCCAGAGAAGTTCAGTTTAATAAAATATATCTTGATTCCATTGCAATTTTTTTTTCAACAAATCTCTTTAGTGAACGGAACTTCTCTGGTGTCTACTTATTGATAGTTTCTACTCATTGAACTTCTCTGCTGCCTAGTTATTGATTATTGAAACTGATAGTTTCTCATTTATTCAAAAATATTTGACAAAAAAGTATTTATTCAATAATATTTCTCAAAAAATGTATATTTAATTATACGTTTAAATAAATGCTTTTTAAAGACAAAAATTCATGTGCTCAAAATGTGGCAATTTACGAATGTAGTTTTCAGTTACGAACTTTCAAATAGCCCAAAAAAGTAAACGAAATTGGTTTACAAAGTGTATTGATTTTTTAGATTTTTCAGTGATATAACAAAAACATATAAATACTATATAAAAAATATAGCTTCCTCGAAATAGGGTGGTTCTTCTCTATAGTGAAATTTATGCAAGATTATTGAAACTAAGAGAACTTCAAGGCCATATATGTTTTGTTTGAAAATGCTTCAGAAATAATCAATCGTTGCTTCAGAAGTAATCAACCGTTCTAGTGGAAATCATTGATACGTTCACAACTGCCTGTTGCGTAAAAATAAGCCTCCATTTATTAAAGTTTTGGCTACAAGTCGGTTCAATTCTGCTACTTAGAGATAATGAATCTCAAGCACTAACCACTCAGCCACTGATGTTTTACAATTCACAAACACAGATGCACTTTTCTTGCTAGTGAATTTGGAAAAAAACATAAGTTCGCACAAAAACATTAAGCTCGCCAGTGTAAGCACGCAAAACTTAGAAAACGATTTAAAGTATTTTATTTTTTAGACGACCTTTATGAGGTCAATGGGTAATACAACTTATACTAAATATATTTTGAATATAAATAATCAAAAGGAAAAAGTACCAACTGACTCTCTTGCTAGGCTTCGAACTAGATCAGAGTAATCAGCTAAATTAATATAAGCATTGAGAACGGTAAAAAACAAGGGTAAAACTCAGTTTGATATACCGTTCTCAGCATTTCTCATGACGCAAATTGTATCCTTATTTCATAGCCCACCTTTAGTTTGATTTATCATGCGAGCAATTTATACGTTAGTTGGTTGAAGTTTAAGGTGGTCTAAAAAATAAGGAGACAATTAAGGTCGTATGAAAAATTGAAGATTTCTTTCATTTTAATTCGCACTTCGACCACTTGATTGACCTTATGATAACGAAGAACAAAGAGACAAAAGTGTTTCAATTGTTTTTCCAATTGACGTTGATGATTGGTATTTAAACTGATGCAAACTATTTTTGATGTTTTCAAGTTTTAAAAGCCGCAGAAAGTGTATCCTGCAGTGCATAACATAACCATAGAACAACTGCAAATTTGAAATACCAAAACAAGTCGACTTGTAACTAAAATTAACGTTATCAAGATCATATTTTTCAAGTTCTGTCTCACCAATTTGGTCCTGGAATCCATGAGAGAAATTTTTTATTCGCTTTTTGGAGTCCAAATTACGGCTTGAAAGGTTTTGAATTATACAAGACTTGTTTTACTTTCTTTCTTTGCTTTTTGTGATTAATAAAAACCTAGATGATAAAATTACATTTCACGATAATCGTTGCGCATCATTCCGTGACCTGGCTAGAAAACAAAAACGCAAACCGGATGGGCATGACTTTTCCTCCTTTCTTCAAAGTCAACAATTGCATGAAAAACAGTTGTTACCTAGCCATAATTTTATTACAATTGTTGTTTAGCTATGAATGATATCAGACACGGACTAAAAATCGACAATGAGAAACAATTGTTTTCTTTTGTGAACCCAAATCATGGCTGAAAGGTTTTTTTGAGCTAGTAAAAATCAAGTGGATAATAACCCGCATCGTTCCATGACTTAGCTGGAACAAAAATGTGGGCCAGCGGGGCACAATTTTTCCACTACTTCGAAATCACAACAACTACAACGGCATGTTGCGTTGATCAACACATCAATTAAGCAAAAAATGCAAGATTGATATAACGAAAAAACTTCACTTGGAACGAAAAAGGGCGTTATTGAGGTAAAATTTGTTCTGTGGAATCAAATTGGACTATAAATGACTATGAGACCTTTTTTTTAGATTTCAAATCATGGCTGAAAAGCTTTGAAAGATACCAGACTTGACTTCTTTCGAGATTATCAGGGTTATTAAAAACCCAGCGTATAAAAAACTACCTCTCACGCCATTCCCTGCACGTCCTTCCATGATTTTGCGGCATCCTCAAAGTCAGAACAATTACAAAACCGTGTCTTCTTCTCGCAGCATTAAACGAGTCGAATTGCAGGTATATCTGAAGTTTCAGTTCGCTCAGAACGTCAAGTCAATTTTTTTTACCCTAGTTGCTCAAAGCAGTGTTTCGCTAAGAGATGATTTCTTCCAACCTTTTTGAGAGTCGAAAACGTAGTTCAGAATCTTAAATAGCCTTAAGATTTGTTCAGGCTCAAATTTGCTTTTTCGTGGGTTGATTTTGATTTGTAGATTCATTTCTTTTCCGTTGTAAAAAGGAAGGTAAACTTCACTATCCAACAGCAAAAAAGTGAAGGTCACGAAAACCATGATCGATTTCTAGTTTCGAAAGAGGAATTGAATTATCAGATTTCCTAGCGGAAAAAATTTAGTTGTTGATCCAGTTTTCTCAAAATGGGTTAATTTTATCACTAAGGTGCTAGTCATAATTTGTTCCAGAAACTCAAAGAGCTTCAAGGGCATTTATTTTTCTATACAATTTCCAAGTTGAGCCTTTATCAAAATTCCAAAAAATTTTTTTTTGTTTACTTGCGTTCATTGACACTTTTCCAACTGTTTGTCGGCTATGTTCTTCATTCTATAATTATAAAAACTGAAGCTGAGGTAAGAAAAGAGTAAATTAACGCAAGTAAACAGAAAAACAACAATTCTTGCTTGACTTTTGATAAAAGCGCAACTTTTGAAAATCCATGAAAACGTAGGTGCCCTTGAACCTCTTTGAGTTTCTGGATTAATTAATCACTGGCAATTTTTTTAATAAATTTAACTCATTTTGAGAAAACTGGATCAACCATTAAATTTTTTCAATTCCATTTTCAAAACTAGAACCCGATGATTTTTTTCGCGACCATTTCACTTTTGCTGTTCAATAGTGAAGTTTGCCTTCCTTTTTACAAAGGAAATGAAATGAAATTCATAAAAAAAACAATCAGCAAAAAAAAGAAAAATTTTTCATGAAAAAAAATATTGCGACCTATATAAGAGTCTGAACTACGTTTATCAACCCTCAAAAAGGTTGGAAGAAATTATCTCGTAGCGAAACACAACCGTGAACTATATGGATATAAAAACTGACTTGACGTTCAGAGCAAACTGAAACCTTAGCTATAGCTGCAATTCGATCCGTTGCAGTTAAAATGTAGCTTTTTATAAAAAAAAAACGTTTTTTAATTTTGCATAATTCTTGCAAAATTACTGCGTCAATTAATCAGGAAATATATACCTTCAATTTGTTTTTGCATCGGCGAAGAAGTGGCCTCAACGTATAGCCTAAATAGTTAAACATGAGAAAAAAAGTGTTCTCAAACCTGTTTTAATTATACTTACTCTCTCATTTCACAAATATCTGTGTAATTGAAAACATTCTTCTTGCATTAATCAGCGAAAACTCGCCGAATTCTGATGCTATCATCATTAAATGGATTACTTTTTGTTCGCACGTTTTTACAACTTATTGAATTTCCACTGCATTTTGAGCCGTACAAGCTTCTGCAGCACAAAAGTTTCAAAACTGCTGTTCTCAAACTCGAGTAAATTTGGATTGGAACTGATAAGGACCAAAATTAATTGAAACTTTATCAGTAATTCTATGATGCAATTTATTTAGCAAAAAGTTAAACAAAATCACACCCTTAAATAGTTTCAATGCGTTTGGTTCAAAATGAAGGGGCAAACTGTGTCAATTGTAAGTTTGTATATCAATTGAGCCTGTTTGCTTCATAAATTTTCAACAAAACGATTTGACCCGTTTGAAGGGTGATTTCAGTTCAACCTTTTGCAAAATCATAGAAATAGGCTGGTTAAATTTCAAACACTTCTTCCAAAGTTAGCCCAATTAAGAAAAACTTTATTGAAAATTTGTTTTAGTTCGATATATGCGATTTATTTATATCAGTGCTGTGACACTTCTTCAGCTCAAAATGCAGTGAAATTTCAATACATCGTGAAAATAAGTTCAACAGAAAATAATCCAAGTATATCATCGAAATTCGCCGAATTTTTGGTGCCTACTGCTAAAATAATTACTTAATTACCCAGCTATTTGTTAAATTCAAAAGGATTTTGAAAACATCCTGGAGTTAAATCTCATTCCAAAAGTAAAAAACGAAGTATTCTAACTCAATTCAGCATTTATTCAAAATCAAATCAATAAATATAACAACCATCAGGCCGTTGGAAAATGTTTACGAACTGTCAATGCATTGAGACATAACTGGAAATATGAAAGCATCAGATTGTGAATTGCAACTATTTTATGGCCAGCTCTTCTCTTGATATTGGAGAGAAAACTGAAGCAAACTGTAAATAAGTCAGACCGACACAACAAAAAATGCCCGCACTTAATGCCACTGACAGTCACATAATTAACTCAGAGGCGAAGCTATGCTTCGCAAACACTAGCAAGAAAACAACAAAAAGCAGCTCTATAAAGTTAAATAAAATGAGAAAAGGTTAAAATTAAACGTTTGCTGAGGCAGATTCGATCCTACGACTCGGAGATTCAGAGTCTTCTGTCCTCGCATCTGCACCACGGGCCCTTAACAATTTACTAATACTAACAAAAAATAAAGCATCAACACTTGCTAATATATTGCCAATGCGATGCAGCAAAACGGCATCCAAAACAAATACAAAATTTCGCATTTAATAATTAGGAATACCACAAACTGAAGGCATGCACGCTATCTTTGCATGTAAAATATTGGAAAGCAGAAAGCCAAATTATGTATAAATTATGGATTTCAAAAAAATTGAAAGCTATATTGAGTCGGACAGTTTCTGAATTCGAGTTTTAATTATTGTACTGTTGTTTGAAACAAATAGCTTTTTTCGGTTCATTTGATGAACTAAAAATGCATCATTTCTGTTACCTTATAACTAATCGAAGGTTAAAGCGCATTCTACCAAAAAGCCGTAAAGGTGCCACCAAAAAAATCAACAAAATTTGCGAATTAGGTTGGGAAAAAAGAAATAGTCGTACTATTACACTACGCTGGCTAGTGTAAAAAAAACAAAAAGAAACCAGTTTCATGTGCTCAATAAACAGTTCGCGAAGTCTGTGTCATGTTTTGCAGAGGCAGATTAAAGTTTTCAACAAGATCTCTCGCCGTCACACTTTCTCCAGGCGGTATTCCATGACCCTTTTCCAACCCGAGAGGGTTAGACTTCGTCACAGCTAAAATAGTCGGTTCCTTTCTTAAAACCGAGTCGATGTCTATTGACGAGAAATAGGCGACTGAGGCCGGTAGGTCGTGAATCCCGACTGACGCCGAAAAGAAGGCTCTAGTCCATAAATGGGCTATTTGAAGCACCCAACATGCTCTGTAGACATCTTCATCTGCCACTAAGTACCTCACTTCGTCATGTATACTCAAGGTAAACATCATCTTGACCCTAAAAAACAGAACGCGGGTTTCGATTGAAGTAAGTCTGAAGTTAATTCACATAAAGTAACACATTTTTGAAAAAATGAGATCCCTGAAAAATACTTCGATGGAAAACGAAAAGATTTCAAGATGCCACAAGATTGTTTCAATTGTTAATTTTAAAGTTTTCGTAAGACAATTTTAGTTTAGCCGAGCTGCTTTCTTTATAACAGTTTGCTACTTTCTATACAGCAATCTTACGCAGTAAAAACAACTTACGAATACTGAGCCTTGAGCGAGTCCACCGCCACTAATAACAAGTGTAGGAAATCGACAGCTGAGCTCTGTACTACCCAATTGATTCGACTGGGAAGTTCTGCCGACCCGCAATTTGGCGGTTGAAGTGCCCGAGTAATTAGACTGCCCAGGAAAGGAGTGCGTGGCTGCTCACTCGTGGCAATTCGCTCCAGTTTAGAAAACATGGCGCTCTCTGTGCCTCCCGTATACCTGCGATACATTTAAAAACCTTCAAATTTATGACTACTACTTTTGCAAAAACATGCGAAGATGACTACTTTTGCAAAGATGACTATTAGGTTTGCAATAACATAGGTTTCGGACAAAAAAGGTTGGAAACGTGTCAATCACGTTAAAATGCGCTTCGCACCAGTTGTGATACAAAACAAGAAAGCCGTAAATCGGAAAAAAATTCGAAAAAACTAGATCTAACAAAATGAATTAGGCTAGTTTTAAAACAAAAACATGCTTAGACAAAAGAAAATTTACAAAGAGAAAACCTTAGCAAAAACCCTTAAGACGACAAAAATTAACAAGACTGAAGACTTAAATTCCCTCGCCCTCAAAACACAACATCATCATCAGTTTGCACCATCCTCTTTGGTGAGGGTTGGTTCCACGTAACAGTAATTGTCGATAAACTGCTTCCATAATCGACGTTTTTGCGCCCTTCTGATTAATAACGTCAGTTTGAATATTCAAAACACAACACAACTTTATTTGATCAATTTTTTGCATTTGTGCTGCTGCAATTGAAAATTATTCTTCAGTGTCGCAAAATAATAAATTATAAAAATAAGGTTGCCATTGAAACGACTCAAAATTTGTTCACTATGCCGATAAAAGATCCGCCGACATCAGGCAGAATAAAGTTTTTAAGCCAAAAAAATACAAAAAAAGACAAAGATAGCCGTTACTGTGCGTGCAAGTAGCACAGAATGTTCCCGCCATTAGTCTTTAGAAAACTACGGTTTAGAGAGTGTTTTTTCCAAATTAGTGTAGTTTTTTTCAGCTTGGTGCGATAAAAGAATCTGACGTTAAAATATAAATTAGGCATATTAGACAGTTATAAATAATATAGGCAAATTGGACAACAATTTTTTTTAGAAAAATGACTAGAAAAACAAAAAATTGAAAAAAAAATTTCATAATTTTTTTTGCAGGAAATTTTTGAATTCTTTGAAGTTTTTGGTTCCCAAAATGAAGCTAATAAACTCCAAAAACTAGTTTTACTTGCTTAAAATTAAATTTTAAGGTCTTAAATTAGGCATAATTCAGCTTGTAACCCTGCTCGCTTGCTTTACTCGCCCAAATAAAAACCAAAAATCGAAAATTCTAAACCATTTTTTCCCGACACTGGGAAAACATTTCGGAATTTTTAATAGGTGGCTCGAATCATGACTGAAAAGGCTTAAATATGATATATCACTCAACCCAGTCCGATCATTATTTGTGGTACCGGATTTTGCGTGGAAAATAAAAAAGCAAAAAAAACTAAAACACCCGAATACAAAGTTTCTCCCCATATTCAAGGGTCGTAACTAAGTCAAGGCTAGTAAAATTACAAACAGCAGAAGTTAACAAAAATAGCAAACTGACAGTTAGAAAAAAGTAATCAAAGGAAGGAAACAGAAAAAAAACTAACTTATTTTATGGAAAAAACTTCAACTTTGGAATCTTAAAGAAATATATACCCTTCAAGCTCTTTTCTTTTGAATTTCACGAACAATTTATGATTGAAGCTTTCAGAAAAGCGGATCAATAGGCAGAGTTTTTATTGCAGGGGAATCTGATAACCAAATTCAACTTTCGAAATAGAACGTGATCGAACTTTAGAATTTGATCACGTTTTTCGTGGCCTTTACATTTTTGCTCTTCGATAACGGAGTTTGCCCTCCTTTTAACAAAGGAAAAGAAGTGAACTTAAAAAGAAGTGAACTTAAAAAGAAGTGAACTTAAAAAGAACTTAAGTCAATCCGCAAAAAATCAAAACTGCGCGTTTTATGATTTTGCTGGAAAAAAACACGAGAACTACATAAGAGTCCTCACTACAATCATTACTCTTCAAAACACTTAAGCAATTACAATGTAAATTACGTACAGAAAAAAAATTCTACGATGTGGCAACTGAGCCGACACAACATACGCAGACTAAGAATTAGCCGACAATTTCTTTTGAACAGGAATATTTCTGATTTGAAAAAAAAAAACAGGTTCTGTCAGATTCGAAGCCAGGGCCTTTGCCGTTCCAGGCGTATTCGTTATCTCCAGACCAAGTGTGCCGGAGACGTAAAAAAATTGAATTCGTTCTGAACTGAGCCCAAAATTATCCTTTCAAATTTTGATGACTCTGAACAAAGTTATTGACGGGAAAAAGGTCTAGTACCCGATTGCAATACCCTAGCTTAACGCAAGAGAAGCAATACAACAAAAACTGGGCCAATAAGTAATTTTTTTTCGCTGGGAATAAATAAAAACACAGCCAACTGACAGCTGGAAAAGAGTAATGAACGCAAAGAAACTGAAAAAAACGAGTTTTTTTTTTTAAATTTTCAACTTTTGAATCTCGGAAAAAAATATGGCCTTAAAACTCTTTAAATTTGCAAAAAAATATAAATTAATGGCACTTTTTTGATAACATGAACCCAACTTGAGAAAACTGGATCAACAGGTAAAGTTTTTATTCCGCTGGGAAATCTGATAATCGTGACCTTTACAATTCTGCAGTTCAATAGAGAGTTTGCCTTCCTTTTAACAATAGAAATACACTAACTTGAAAAGAAATCACAAGTCAAACTGCGAAAAATCAAAATTGAGCGTGAACAAATTTAAAGACTTTTTCCTAAAAAAAAAATCAGCAAGACCTATAAAAGAGTACTCACTACGTTCATTACTCTTAATTAAATCCAATTTTGAAACTTAATTTATTCCCAAAACTGAGTGGTTCTTGTATAAATTTTTTTCTGGAAAAAAAATCCCGCTAACCATTTTTTTTATTAATTGAAATTATAAGTAGCACGGGATAAAAAATGTTTGACTATTAGTAGCTTCGCAGATCCAGCAGAAAAAACGCTATTGAGCTGAATATCCTATCGAGTCCTGAAGAGCTATGCGATTTCTTCTCCATTTACATCGCTACTTCTCCAAATTCCACTTGCCCCATCCACTCACTCACTACATGTGTTTATAAAAACTTTGGCCCTTTTGCCGCTCAATAATTTTTCCTGAAAATAGCGAAAACATTGCTTGAATGTTTACCTCCTTAGTTATGCCTGCATTCCGCTCTTTTGTTAAAGAAGACGTATTTTGAATTCCACTTCCTAAAGCCTAATTGATGTGATAAACTTAAATAGTTTCATATAAATGGCTCCGATCAAACGCACGAATCGAGCAAATACAACTGCTGAACAAGATGTGTGTAACAAATGTTCTGAGACGATTGGTGGATGGATTTTCTGCTAATCGTGTAGGAAGTGGATGCATGACAAGTGTTGAGGAATATCACTAGAATCTTGGACAACACCTTGGATAAGGTTATTACTCCAAAGAACGAAGTTATTTTTATCTAATTTTACCGATAAACTTACTGAGAAATTTACTGAAATTGCTGGTACAGTTTCGAGCTCTGCTCAAACATACGCCGCAGTTGCTTCAACTCCTACTACTGTTCCTGCAATTTCTTCTCCTGTCGATAGTACTTGGACTCGTGAATTGAAAATTGATGGTATATCCGAAAACAGAGGTGATTTCAAATCGCAAACTGAATCTGATATTCACCATATTACTGCTATTTTGACTCACCTAGGTGAGGATTCTTTTGTTAAAGTTAAATTTTTCAAGCGCCTGGGAAAACGTATTGCTACCAGTACGCGCCCACGCACCTTACTTGTTAAATTTACTTCCCAATTTGACTGTGTCAAAGTTTTATCTAAAGCTTACAAACTGCAATCCTTTCGATCTCCCATTTACATTTTAAAATCTCTGTCTCCTACTGACCAAATCAAATTGCGTAAAATATTGAAACTGAGGACTGATGTTTCCACCAAAGACAACATTCCAAAGAGCGATCTCAAGATAAAAAACCCGAAAGTTTACCATAATAATGTGGAAATTCCGTTACCCGAATGACTAGCGGATTTGAGGTTGTGTCTTATCAACGCTCAAAGCTTGATAACAAGTACTCAACGTCTCAAGCTATGCAACTTTCTGCTTTCTAACAACATTGATTTACTGTTTATCACCGAAACCTGGCTCTATGATGAGATAGAGAATCACGAAATCTTCCCTGCTTCTGGCTATCACGTCCTCATGCGACTTGACAGAACTTCAGGAGCACATGGAGGAGTGCTTATTGCTGTCCGTGTGAGCCTGGAACTCAGTATTTTATCATCCTTTTCTGACTCTGATTTTTGCTGTTCTATCATTATTGATTTCCATAAAGCATTTTATTGTTTCTTATTGATTTACAATCCACCTCAAACTTTATTATTCAGAGTTGATTCTTCTGTGCTTGTTGAGGCTATGTTTAACCACCGTGATGAGGTTGTAAAATGTCTCGGTCGCAAAGTTGCGAAAGACCGAGTTGTTACGCAGTTCTCGGTGACATCAACCTTCCTGATGTCTGCTGGAGCTCACACACTGCTACTTGCTTCAAATTGTTGATTTCAGCACCATAGTTTCGGGCAACATCCTTGACTTGCTCTGCGTTTCAGATCCTCATCGATTCATAGTTTTTCGAGGTGCCACTGCTTATTCTGATCATTTTCCTGTTTTTGCGCATGTATTTTCCTGTATGATGTGGACAGTTTAACTCATTGGTGTACTCAGAATGGTCTTAAGATCAATAAAGACAAGTGCAAGTTTCACATTTTACTACAAAGCGATCTGTCACTTACTCAAAAAGTAGTCTTAATTCAGAAAGTTTCAGTCGGGCTATATCGCCCTTATACTCTATCTTGCATTCAAACTGTCATAATGAGTTCATTGACAAGTTCAACGAAACTGTTTATCAAGCACTTGATTCTTCATGTCGTAAAATTACGGCTCGCAGAAAAGATTTTCCGTTTTACTTCTCATCTCATTCTATTCATAATGCTAATAAACTGAGAACTATGAACAATTCGAATTGTTTTAATCCCCAATATCTGTCTCGTAGAGAATGATTTCTCAAACTCAGTTGAACTCGATAAAACTCTGCTGATTCAACGTTTTTCGCCGAATTCTTCCAAGCATGCTTTTATGTTTCTTAACCAAATTAAATCAACACAACCTGTCCCTACTAAACTTTTTTGGGGACGCAAACAGGTCGAGAGCGATGTTTTAATTAGTGAGACTTTCAATCAATATTTCGCTTCTGTTTATCAAGTATCTGAAAGTAGTCCTTCTGCTGGTGGTAGTTTGGCTGATTCGGAAATCAAACTTTCCGAAGTTGATGTCTCCCCCAGTATTGTTGGCGAGCTCCTAGCTAAATGCAAAGAGACTCGTTCTAAAGATAATATATCTGCATTCATTTATAAATCCTGTCACAGCATTCTTTCTCCGCTTGTTTCTTTCCTTTTCTTATCCATTATACAATCTTGTGTTTGGCCCGATTCCTGGAAAACTGTATTCATCACTCCTGTTTTCAAATCTGGTTCTCCTTATGATTTTACCAATTATCGGCCAGTTAGCATACTTCCTCCTCTTTCACTCATTTTCGAGCGTATTTTGTTCAATTATATTTACCTTCGAGTTCGATACAACATTTCGAATGCTCAGCATGGATTCCGCAAGAAGCGTTCCACCATAACGCAAACGCTCTCATATCTGGATGAAGTATATCACACTCATGATGCCAAAATTCCTTGCGCTGCCATGTATTTCAATTTTAGCAAAGCTTTCGATTCTGTCAGGCACGACATTGTACAGAAGTTTGCTGCTTTTGGTTTTGACGATATTTTTACCGCTCTTTTGATTTCTTATCTTTCAAACCGGTTTCAATGTGTTAAAGTTCGAACAAGCATTTCCACCACTTTACCAGTTACTAGTGGTGTACCTCAAGGGAGCGTACTAGGTCCTCTGCTTTTCCTATTGTTTATTAATGATCTTCCTGATATATTTAATCATTCAAACTGTTTTCTTTCCGCTGATGACTCAAAATTCATTTGTAAGACAAATTGCAGTGATTTACAGTCTGATGTGGACAGTTTAACTCATTGGTGTACTCAGAATGGTCTTAAGATCAATAAAGACAAGTGCAATTTCATTATATTCAATGGCAAATTTCCTGATTGTATTTTTGTTAACAACCAACCTGTTCATTCTATTAATTTACTCAAAGACCTTGGTCTGCTTGTTAGCTCTGATCTTACTTGGTCAGACCATATTAGTAAAAAACTTCTATCGAGCAATAAAAGCTTTCATTTTATCGAACGTTCTATTCCATATCACATTCCACTTTCTGCTAAACTCATGTTCATCAATACTTGTGTTAAAAGTATTTTATTGTATGCTAGTCCTGTGTGGTCTCCCTCTTTAACTATGTTAAGGAAGCTTGAGAACTTCAACAGGAAATGTCTTACCTGGGTTACAGGTCATTTACCTTATTTAAAGCAACTTTCTTTAACGAATTCGCTTCCCATATCCTTCACGCTTATATTTAACGACCTTATCCTTTTCCACAAAATGTTAAATGGCGACTCAGAACTCCCTTTTGCTGCGTATTATTATTTTAAGGTGACGACATCAAGATCCAGCGCGTTGATGACAGTGAAAACCGCAAGAAGATGGTCAACCGAGACGTTCTTCACCCACCGAACAGCACGTGCCGTGAACTACATGCTGAAAACAACGGAGATCGACTTTTTCACCTCTTTGCGCCGTTTTCGCAGTACCCTCAAAGACTTCTTACTAGAGCGCTCTAAACTCTTCAATCGTGAAAACTGATGCACTTGGTTTTTGAAGTGCCGTTGCTCTTTCTGTAGATCTTAGTTTTTTAACATATATTTGTTCATCTATTTATATAAATTTTGCCTTATTTTTAATAGGGGAATTAATTCTTTTTTTGTTTGTTGTTTGTTTAATAAAAATGAAGTAAGAGAAATCACAAAAACAAAATTTCTTAAGAAAAACGCGACCTAATTAAGTGAAAATTTACTTCGTTCAAAATCACTTTAAATAAACTTAGTTCATTTTACTAGAAAACAATTGCCAACAAACAGTTGGAAAGATTCAATAAACGCAACGAAACAAAAAAATACAGACTTGTTTTTTGAAAAAACTTCGTTTTTCAAATAGTAGAAAAAACATTTTTTATAATATATGGCCTCAAAGCTCTTTGAATTTCTTGGACAAAAATTAACTCATTAACTTGATAAAATTAACTCAATTTGAGAAAACTGGATTAATAGATAGAGTTCATATTTCGCAGGGAAATCTGATAATTAAATTCCATTTTAAAAATTAGAAGTTGATCACGTTTTTCCTGACCTAGACAAGTTTTTCTTGAAAAAAACCATCACGACCTATATAAGAGTCTGAACTACGTTCATCGACTCTTACAAATTAACCGAAGACAAAAGTTCCTCTCCCTTTTCAATGGTCGGAACAATCAGAAAATACTGCTTTACCTTTTGCGTTCCGCCAGCATTTGACTGACAGTCCAAGGTTGAACCTGCACATCACAACTGTGGGCCATCTGACTCACTAAGTTCGAGAAGAGATACATCACTTGAGCATCCAGTTCCAATTGAGCCGAAGTGAGGTTAACTCCCGACAAGAGCCCAATCATCTTGTAGTTCATCCTTCGAAACTTCTCAGAAGTCAACACTGCTTTCAGTTTGTCGCTTGAAAAGTTTGAGCTTCGCATTGTCGTGTTTAGAGACTGACAAATAGATTCAGTTTGATCAATTCTGAAGCCAACGATAAGACGTAATAGGCAGGAAGCCTCTAGAGATAGAACGATTCGCTCGGATCCTTTAGTCGCAGACAGAAGCCGGCGGGCTGATAGAAGAGCAGTTTTGGGATCCATAGAGGCGTTTTGTTCCAGAAACTGTTTGATGAATGACATTCCAGCGCCATATATTCTACCATAATTGACAACCTGTGAACACAAGCTTTTCTATTCTGTATTAAAATAATTGAAAAAGATATCACTGGATAACCTCCAAAAATACATCCAAAAAATAACAGAAATGGTCTTACGTTCCATATCTGCCAACATTTTTCAAAAATTATTACTTGTCGGTTTTGAATACTTAATAATTGAGTACGTGGTTAAACACAATTTAGCAATCTGGTGATGCTTAGAAAGATTCTTCAAACCAACCTTTGCTGCATCCCGGTCTAAATTGAGCTGCTTTGCTGTGAAGGAGTGAACATCCGTTCCTGACTTTTTGTCCCCTGCCACCACCATCCAGCCAAGCGGAGTAACCCCGTGACCTTTAACCCCGAGTCCAAACTCAATGTCCTTCACATCTCCTGAAGAGTCCCCAATCAAGGCTCCGATCCACATCTCTTCCGCATCCACATCCGCTCCCACAAACTTGAAGCCTTCGGGCGCTCTTAGCATAGATTTCAGTTCTCCACCGACACAGTTGGTTTGCGCATTAGTTGCAACTAACCAAGTATTCTCAGTTGCTCGCCTAGTCAGGGTTCCATGCACACACACTTTAGGAAGAATCCACCCTCGGCTGAAACATCAGAACAAATCACTCAAAACAATCTAAATTATGCGTAATTTTTAATGTTGCTCTTTCATTACTACTTCAGCGATTTAGAAAAAAATTACCTACCGCAAATTGTTGATCCCTTTTCCTGCGTCATGTCCACTCGGCGGAATAATCACATGCAGTTGCTCGTTGCATATTCGAGATCTGTTGCTCGTCCAGAACCGAGTGGCTTTTTCGGTGTCGATGAAGAACTTCAGAAACTCTTGGTGAGTGTCACTTGTCAAGGTGCCATTTTCCACCATGTGAATATAGTCGTGAGTAAAGGGAGTTCCCACATTCTGATTTCTTTTTCCTGAAGTAGTGCCATTAGAACACTTACTCGTTTTTTGAAATTGGGCATTTGCAATGCATCACATACAAGTAAATCACTCGCTGGTTATTTCTAGAATGCAAATTGTTTAAGTTTTCCGAGGTACTTAATTATCGGAAGCTTGTCATACTTGACTTAGCGCAAACATTAAGGACCCCTTTTATTGATTTCGGATTTCTCAGAAGGTGCAAACCGACTACGCAAGCTTAACAAAGAGACAGTTCAAAAAGTCTAATACAGAAAAAAATATATATGGCCTCTTTGAATTTCAATTATCTTTTATAATTGACTTTTTTAGATTAAATTAACGAAGTTTGAGAATACTCATCCATAAGTAAATTGTATTATTACGGCGGGAAAATTAAATACTAAAATTCTATAAAAAAAAACGTTCATCACGACCTAAATAAAAGTTTTCACTTCGCTCATGGACTCTTAAACATCCGATTAACCATCATTCCCGCGATCAGATACAATAAGTTATCGCCTAGCCAGTAACCCCTGCCCCTCCCATAATCTAGGACCTCTTGTTTTGGAGTTCACGACTAAACTAATACGCTAATAAACCAACTCACCTGACGCGTGTGGCATTTTGAGACACCTGAATAGTCCTTTTTCTGAATTTCCCAACCTTGAGAGGTCATCATCCGACAGTTTCACAGTCTTGTAACCAGACAAATTCTCGTCCAGATCTGGACGCCTTTTCGAACCTGGACTTAGCTCTTCTTTTAGGAAACACCAGCCCGAATGTCTGGTGTGGAACAAGGGACATGTTTTATATCTCATTTGCATCAAAATAGGAGTGATATGCATTTTGAGAGTGAGACTGACTCTCTCTTTTTCTGCATCAATCAAGGGCAACAACCAACTAGGACATTCGTTCCTGCCATTGCATGCACGCTGAAAAAAAAGAAACCAAATCGTATATTCATTTATGCCATTAAGTCTTTCTGACTGCTTACAACAAACAGTCAGATTCAGCATCTCATTAAAGGTCTAAACAATGCTGTATATCGTGCAACTTGCTCTAACAAAAACTTCCTGAATTAATGTGAATTCAAACTTCCCGTCGCAGGTGAAGCAAAAATTACAACTTACCATTAACGCTTCTTTGTTTTTCTTCGAGGTCAAATCGACCAGACTCCAATCCAGTTGTCTCAGCCAGATGTTCTTTTTGCTCTCCTCAGAAGTGTTAAAAGCCACAATGAGAGCCACGTCTTTTAACTTTCCCTCCAAACAATTTATCATATCATCCGCAGCCTCATTGCACACTTGCTTGTACTGTTTCCACAAACTATCCGCGGGGAGTCGCGAGTTTCCCATAAGAATAGATCCAGCAAATGTGACGGAATGCGGGTTATGATATCTGTACTGAGGATACAAATGTCGAAATAGTTTCCAAGTGGCCGAAACATCTTCGGCACAGTAACTCATCAATGTTTGAAAATTATCACGGATGTCTTGCAAGGATCCGGAAACAAAAATGTTTCTCAGCTGTGATTTCTGTCCCAAATGCAGAGGAAATTTACCACAGTGTAGTCTGTAGACATCAACTAAGTTGGCTTTACTGCATTTATTTGTCCACTCCCACTTGTCGATCAAAGTCATGTCTCCCATTTGATTCTCTCGTGAACCTCCCGTCTTTGCTGCTTTCGGTTTCCTCGTTGTTGATTCAGTTTTATTCATACTGTTCCGACTGGCGATTAAGTTCATTTGTATCTAAGCACTTTTTCTACTAGAATTCAGTTTGAATTAGGTATCATAGCAACTGAATTAGGAAATTTGGAAATGTCTCAACGAATTGAAGAAAACCAAAAAAAAAAAAACGATTGAATAATTTTTAAAATACATGGCCTTGAGTTCAAGAAAATTTTATGTTGATTTTTTTTGCAAAGCTAATGCAATTTTAGGAAACTGCGTCAATAATAATATTTCATTAGGCCCCTGAGCATTCTGAAAATAAAATTTTATCGCGCCATTTCTACTTTTGTTATTGGAGAGCGAAATTTGCCTTCCTTCTAGCGAATCAATTAGACTTAACTCGGAAAATTCGTATTTCAAACCGCAAAAAAATTCAACTTTGAAAAATTCAAGGTTTAGCTTGAACAATTTTTCAGATTATTACTGAAAAAGCCTAAAAAGACCATGATAGCCCTTTGCTATGCAAGTAGCACAAAATTATGCAGTGAATCAATTAAAAAGCACGCAAAAAATAAATCGATTGGAAGGTGTACAATTAGATAATAATAAGCTAAAAGGCGTTAAACATTGATGACATATCCAACACACAGTTGGAAAACAGCCAATGAACGTAAGCAGACAGAAAAAATGCTGGCTTGTTTTTTAAAATCTCAACTTTCGAACTTCAAAGAAAAAAATCGATGGCCGTACAACTCTTTCGAGAATAATTAATGACTGCACTTTTTTGATAAAACTAACCAAATGTATGAAGTTATTAGAGTATTTGTTGATTTTTTTTCTGAAAAAAAAACAAAAATAATACGAGTCTTTACTACGTTCATCGATTTTATTGATTTAAATGACTCCTGCATTGCATACCAAAGCTTCATTTCAAATCTTTTGAACATAGTTAATAGGTGGTTGAAAAAAATGTAAAAGAACGTTTTTCGTGACATTTACACTTTTGCTGTTCGATAGTGCAGTTTGCCTTCATTGAACAAAAAAAGTCAAACCGCGAAAAATTAAATTTGAGCGTGAACAAATTTTAAAACTATTTCCCGAAAAACAAAAAAAAATCCTCAAACCTATATAAAAGTCTGAATTACGTTCATCAGCTCTTAAAAGTCACGTTTAAACGCAGGAGAATTGGATAGCCAACTCATCCTCTCACTCATAAGACTCTCCTCTCGTTTTTCAGACGTATAAATTAGTCTCAAAAACGCGAAAATTTAGACCAATTTTCTTGATACTGAGACTTTTTTAATTTTTGGAACAACTGTGTGACACCCTTCACGAGATTTTTTTGAGGTACCTTCAATTGGGAGATAAACTCACCCTATGCCATAGTTCTTTCCGTCACTTCTTGACGTGGTCGAATCAAAAATCAACGAGACCTAAACAAGTGTCATCCCTTCGTTCATTGACACTTAATAAACAGATCTGGCATTGATTAGATCTAGATATGAACACTTCAATACTTCAAACACAGAAGCAAAGCGGAGCTTCGCACCACTTGCAATACAATAAAAAACGAACAGCAGCTACCCGAAAAAAAAATTGGACAAAAGTCTAGAACAAAATTGCCAGTAGTGTTTAATAGATATTGAAAAATAACATCATCAAGCGGCAACTGAGCAAACAACTGTAAAAAATATATCGAAACTCGTCACCCTCCCTTCAAGAACACAAATGCATGAAAAGCATTTTGGCCCTTCAAACGACAAATTCTGAGGCAACTAAATAGATCTATCATCAATCAAAAGCATTTAAGCCTAAGAAAACTTGAATTAAAAAAAAACTAGGACAGTGAGCGAAAAAAATGCGGCCATTTTAACTGCAGACATGAGCAAAAAATATCCATTGCCGGTCATTCTATCAGAACAGACATGCCAACTGATATAACTGATATTGTTATACTAGTTGTCACCCCGAAAAAAGTGTATATTCCGATTTGATAACGCTTGCTGATTGCAAGCGTAGATATATAAAATATGATTCTTAAAGAAACATTTTTGAAAAATATTTAGAACACGTTTTTTCAAGTAATTATAATTTCATGAGCAGTTTTCTTTTTTTTCCGATTTCTTCTTTTTATTTCATTTTTAAAAAATTTTTGATGCAGTTTTTCTTTTTATTTTATCTGAATGCAGTTTTCTTCTTCAGATTTTTGTTCAATTATATTAGTCTTAGTAGGCTTGACTGCAAAAAAATCACAGCAAATCAAAGGAAAAGAATCAAATTTGAATATTTAAATCTTATTTAAGTCTTTGTTAGGTTCAAACTAAAGAATAACATTTATATTTACCTGAGTGACACCACACACGGCCTGGTGCATTGCCATGGTGTCCAGATATGTTTTATCACTTGTCACTCCTTCTGAGAGAAACCTCTCTGCATCTGCATACTCGCTTTGGATATACTGCCTATCAAAAGCCACATTGTGCCCCACAATTACAGGTCCCCGACTGCCATTGCTTTTCTTTGAGTCGTCGGATGACTGGATTGGAATAAGGAAGTCAAACACTTTCTCAGGATTGAACTGGTCTGTGATATCGTGACGCCATAAGGCCGGACTAAAAGTTTTCATCTCTTAACGATAATAGAAAACATATCAACAGGCAATTGGAAAACAGTCATTGAATGCAAGGAACAGAATTTCGAAGTTTAAAAAATGTCCTGAAAGCTCTTTGAATTTTTATCAAAACTAATGATTGACACTTTCAGATTAAAATAAATCAATGTGAAAAAACTGGATCAATAGGTAAAATTTTTACAATAGTGAACAAAATTAAGCGCAAATTCACGTTTTTACTCTCTAAAACACCTGCTTTCAATGTCCATTTTCGACAACGTTTACTTCAACTTTTTGCTAAATTTTTACATAGACCAAGAGCAAATGATTAGAGCTACCGTCTCTGAAACTATCAATATTGGGTTTCTGAGACTCAGCAGTGTAGTAGGGTAGGGGTCTGGAAATGCCAGTTTTCCTCATCTGCACTAAGTTTTTTTTACTTTGCGTGAAAACGTAGGAAATGTCCGAGTAAAGTTTAGTGAAGTTTTCACACTGATTATTTCCATTTTCTCGCTGAGAATGTTTCACGTCGCTTGAACAACTTTTTTACTCTGCTATTTCAAGAAAGAATGCAAAACTTAGAGCAGATGAGGAAAACTGTCATTTTCAGACCCGGATTACATTTGTGAGTCACGGAAACCAAATACTGATAGTTTTAAAGACGGTAGCTCTAATTATTTGCTCTTGATCTATGTCAGAAAATCTCAGAAAATCGAAGTGAGTAGAAGAGAGTAATTTTAAAGAGTAAAAATCTGAATTTGCGTTTACTTTTGTCCACTACTGTATTCCGCTGTGAAATCTGAAAAATCTAATCTACTTGCATAATAAGAAGTCAATTAATTTTTTCGTGTCTTTTACACTTTCGCTGTTCCATAGCGGAGTTTGTCGTTTTTCAAACAAAGGAAATGAATTGATTTAAAAAGAAAGGCTCTTTTTCCTTCCCCCCCCCCCCATCTGCAGTTTTTAGATAGTAAAGTTACTGTTCACATTGTCCGATCGTTATTAAAATTGACATGCGGACTAATTAAGCTATGCCAAACATATTTGGTCTCCATAATTAACCTTGTAAAACCACTCGTTACACCATAAAGTTGATGGTCGTGTGAGGTGGGGGGAAAAAGAAAAAGAGCCAAAAGAAATCATAACTCAAATCGCGAAAAATCAAATTTGAGCGTGATCAACTTGAAAGATTTTTCCTGAAAAAAATGATCACGACCTATATAACAGTCTTCACAACATTCATCGAATGTAAAAACGATGTCAGGAAAGAAAAGGCCTTTTCAAATTCATTTTTCTTTTCTTGGTTCAAATTTTTAAGTGCAGAAAAATTCAAAATTGAACAGCTTTTTCAATATCAAGAATTTTTCGTGTTAAGGAAAATTAAATTAAAGATTTGATATTTGGATGGGATACTAGGATACCTCTGATGTTAAGTGCAACGCTACTTCTCGGAGAGCGTTCAATAAACTGCTGTTGGAAAAAAAATGAAAAACGAGCTTAAATATAAAAAAATCCGTGCGAGAAGCACTGAATGTTCTGTATATCACAGAAACAACTTCAAACTTTCAAACAAAACAAAGCTTCTATACAATTTTCGCATTCCAATATTTTTGGGTAATTTCTGAGCTTCAAATTTGCTCAAGCCATATTTTTAAAGTTCGCTAAAAAAAACTGAGAAATGCGCAAGTTTGTAGCCAGAAATCAGGCTTGCTTAAAAGCGGAACGTTTTTCATAATGTTTATTGAAAATAATCGAACTAAGTTATCTATGTCATGTGGTGACAGTTTAGAATCCAGCTTTGCCTTGGACTGACTCGCTGATTGAGACATTCATTTTTTCTAGTCTTCATGGAGATCAATAGTCTACTAGTAATAGATATCGTAGTCTACTAATAACAGAAGTATCATCACGATTTCAAAAATCTTGCGTTGAACTCTTTTCTTTTTACTTTAAACCTTTAACTGGTCATTTCTTTTAATCATGCGCAGTCCAATTCAAATCTTGCTTATTTTGGGATTTTATTTACATTTTGAGCATCTTAACTTTAACTTTACAGGTATAGTTTACAATAAACTAATTAACTTTACAGGTATTATATTGGAAAACATACAGCCAAATTAAGTATAAATTAAGCATTTAAAAAAAAGACATCGAGTCGAGTTGGAAAGATGCGAGATTTTGCGTTGGAATGCAGTTTTCATTTTTGTAATTTTTCAAAACAATTAGCTTTTTTCGGTTCATTTGAGGAGTTAAAAATGAATCAACGGTATTAACTTGTAACTCACCGAATGTCAAAGCACATACTATCAAAAAAGCCTCCAAAATTGGTACCAATATTTCCGACATAGGTTGAAAAAAAGAATACTCGCACTATTTACACTGCGTTCGCAAGTGTACTAACACATGTCCGGCAGTTAAAACAAAATTTATTTGAACCTTTTTTTGCTGACCTATTCCAAGAATACCATCTCTGAGTTAACGGAGCGTATGCAGTTGCCATAACTGGATAATATTGCGACGTAGCAACATTAACCTCAACGTCAAAGATGAGAAATTCTTCGTTTCCGGGGTTCTTAGCACTATATGTATTTCTGTCATAACAGGTCCATCCAGTCGAACCACTCCATGAATCTGGCCGGGTTCCGTGAAATTGCTGCGCAAGACACCGGTTAATCCGACTTTCAACTGAGCTGATTAAATTTTCACCCATGAACTCAAAATGCTCGAGAATAGACTTTCCATGGACTTGCGGTAGAAACAACTCCGCGAAAGGTTTCTCGATATCGCTTTCAGTAGAACCCGGTTCATTTTCCAAACCTGAAGTTTTTAAAGCAGCTTGAGTGACGCTTTTTTCCCAGTTCAAGCGTTCGTGGCTACTCAACTCATCAGTTTTGAAAACTCTTTGTCTGGTATGCTCGGGCAGCATAGCAATGCTCAACTTTGAAAAATACATTTTGCTTTCCACGAGGTTCAGACACTGGCAGCAAAGAAAATTGCGAAACTGTTTTATCATTGCTCATAATTCTTGACTGTGTTTTCTGACTCCATATGAACGTCGAAACACTAAACCCTCAAGGGTAATTGTCTGAAAAGAGAGCAATCATTTAGCGAAACGCCACTTTTCGTTAGAAACAAATAATGATAAGAGAACTGCTTCAGATCCAAAAAAAAACAACAACACGAGGTTTCAGTAACCATACTAAGATCAGTTCATCCATCCCCGAGGAGCGGAGCTTCCCGAAATTGCGATACAACATGAACAATGAACATAGCATGAAAAATTCACCGATAGTAACGAGACGAAAGCCGCTAGGTCTAACAAATTCTATACAAAACGTATATCTGAAAAAAAAACATATATAAGTTTGTCACCCTTTGTCTTGCATGACGATGACTTTGTTTGGAGGAATGCATGCCAAGTTAGGCAAAAACGAGTGTAAACTTAGAGATTAGGGTCCAGAAGAACAGGCCGCAATTGTTACATCAGATATTATCATGGCAACCGAACTTACTACACTTAGTCTTTCATCATTTCACCGTCAATAAACACTTGGAATTTCCTTAATTGTGGAGAATTAGAGGAAAGTTTTGAGTGAAAGAAAATAAAGACAATCAGATGAATGTCAATACAGTCAATCAGATTTGTACCATTGGCCCAAAGATTACACAGCGACGGAAAAAAGAAACAACCACTATTGACGAATGGCTGACGTCAGATACCTAAATTCTATGTCTTTTTTAACCGTATTCACCTACTCAGTTAGTTTTAGTCTAATATAGAGAATCGCAACAATTTTGGGGAAAAGTCAAAGTTAAAACTTGAACTTATTTAAGATTTTACGATGTCTGAGAACTGACATCAATACTTACCGATAACGACCCTAAGACAAGCGACTTGTCCGGCGGTAGAATTCGTCGAACGCCGCTGTCAAGCTTATATGATATGTATATAGAAACGGATCCGAGACTAACTATAATCTCGCACAGCAAATAATAGCGATGTTTATGGGGACAAAGAGAAAAGCTTAAATTTTTTCATGAAATTGCTTACCACACTATAATAACTGAATCTTACCCTTAAAGAAATGTACATCGGAACGAACCTCTGTAAAAATAACTGAATAATTAGGACAACTTTAGCGCGTTTTGTAATTAAAATTGTTAATTAATTTAAATATTGAAATTTGTTGACTTCCTACTTAGCCGTTGCACAAACACTCCCTTAGTGATACCCGGGTTGTAATATAGTGGCGCTAAAAAAACAATAGTCAGGAAGAACGATTGAGATTCAGAAAAAAAAACGAATTGATTTCAAACTGTCGAGCATGACGGAAAATCATTTGAAAAATCAAACACCTTCAAACACGGTTAACACCGGCTCATGGAGAAAACCAAGAAAACTGGACAGAAAACGGATCGAAATTCCGTTGGCATTGTTTACTGTTTTCGGTTGTAAACTCTCTTAAGTTATTTTGAACACCAAACAGCAACTGGGCAGATTTCAGCGGTATGTTGGAGAAAAAAGAGCTGAAAAACTGAACAGTCGTTAAAAATTGTTCAGTTTCGAAATTAACAGTGGATAAATCTGTAGTTGGATTGGAGAAACGTGAATTTTCAGAAGCCAAATTAAATTTCTAGCGATCAGTCGGTTCATTTTAATGTCTTATTTTTAATTTCGCTTTTAATCGCCAACATGTTTGACCTCGAAACTTTCAAAAATTTGAACGATGAATTGAAATACGAGCTGTATAAAGACTTGGTCGAAAATGTTACTAATTTTAAACGAATTATCGAAAACTTAACTGTATCAACGAAAGAGGAAGAAAGAGGAAACAAATTTATTGATCTAGAAAATTTTAAAAACACGGGCAATTCGAAAATTACAGAAAACAAATTTGAAAATGAATGGAGCAAGATTGGAACTCGGAGCAGAAATCAGAACAAACGAAGCAAAAATAACCAAGAAAGCAAGAATAACCAAGAAATCAAAATACAAGCAACCAATATTCAAGAAGAAAAATTCGACCAGCAACGAAAACATTTATTTTTACCACGAGATGATGAATATTCTGGCCTATTACTGGGAGACTCAATTGTTGACAGACTCAATGGGGAACAAATATCGGAAAATGTGTTGGCGAGAGGATTTGGTGGGCACAAAATTTCTGCATTGCTGGAACTCGTGAGAACAGTAAATCGCGACATTTTAAACATGTAACTACGCTAATTGGAATAAATGACTGCCTCTCAAGTGATTTCGACGCGAAGGAAGCCGTGAGTAGCTTATAAAAACTAATTTATCTCATTAATCATAAATTCTCCCCAGAAACAATTTCACTATGTACTGTAACTCCCTTAGGCGCTTTTAGAAAAGATTTTAATCCAAATGTACAGAAGCTAAACAAGCAAATTCTTAATTTAGTACGGAATGTAAAAGACTTGGGCGAAGTAAAATTGGATATTTTAGACATAAAAAAAATTTTAGTCAAAATACCGATGCGCTTAGCTCGGATGGTTTGCATCCTTCTGAAGGGGGTGTTGAAATTTTGGTGCAAAGTTTTAGAGATTCTTTTAGAGGTTCTGATATTAATGCAAACACATGTGAGATTACAACCCGCCCCAGAATGAAGCAAACCCAACAATCATCAAATTTAGATCCAAAAACGGCAGAAATGTTACAATTTTTCCAAAACGGTGCAAAATTTTTTAGGAAATAGTAGTTTCGCATTTTTTCTTGGTGCAAACTTTGGCGATTATTTAATTTATTTAACTTATTATGCTGAATATTAAATTCTGGTTGTTATGTGCAATTTTTCTAATTTCCAAGGCTCAGATGGAAACTAAAGAAAAAACTATTGTTTACTGGGGCTATCTAAGCTGCCAGCAAAAGATATTATCATCGAAATGTGGGATAAATGAGCGGAGAGCTACCACACTGACTCATCTTTTCCTTTTCGCGTTGTTACTGACCCAAGGTGGGGATGTTGAAAAAAACCCTGGTCCTATTAAAACCATTGAAACAGTCTACGGTATCTGCTCAAATTATTGTGCAAATCTTAAATTTGTTCATTTGAATTTTCAAAGTATTATTAGAAAACGGATGCAATTGAAAAAATTTCTTGATGATATGGGCGAAAATACAATTATAGGAATTTCCGAAATGTGGCTTAAAAAAGAAGATAGTGACAATTTATGGATTTTCCAACCTAGAACGCATGCGTTGTTCAGATATGATAGGCAATCATCGGTAAAAAAGAAAGGCGGTGGCGTTTTGTTATATATACCAGTCAAATTGGCTCCGAAATTGAGGCCTGATTTAAATTTATTTGATAAAGAAAAATATGAGTCAGTGTGGGTTGAGTGCAAATCTACATTTAACATTTCGAGTACAGAAAAAATGTTAGTTAATTTGTGTTATAACCCAAGCAGATCAAACTTTATTGATTTTTTGGAACAATTAACGCTTAACATACATAATGCATTTTCAGTTTCTAATAAAATTACGCTTCTGGGTGATTATAACATAAATTATCTGGATAGCAAAGAAAAAGAATATTTAGACTCTATAATTATTCCATATGGATTGAAGGTTTTTTTGTCCAAACGATGAGACCAGAATTAGTTCCTCAACAAAAACTCATATCGACTACATAATCAGTGACTATGAAACAAACGGCATTGAATTTTGTTTTGGTACACCTTATAAAACCGACCATTTTGCTTCATTTTTTTGACGGATATAAAATGCGGCAAAACTTTACCGAGGATAATTTCGACTTTCAATAAGAAAAATTATCAGAAAAATGAATTTTGCAATTCACTCTCCGCTCTTCCTTGGTATCTCTTATATCAATGTACAGACGAACAAAACATGTTCTCGACGATGATTTATTTAATTTCTTGTGCTCTACAGCAACATGCTCCTATCGAAAAAAAGTTTGTTCGTAATTTCAAACCAAAAAACGTGTTGAAAACGGAATGGTTCGATTCAGAATGTCAGCAATTATTGACTAAGAAACAGAATTCACTCAGATCATATCGCAGTCAAATCACAAGCGATAATTGGTCAAAGTACCAGTTTTTACGTAGTCAAATGAGCCAATTGATTAGAAGTAAACAACTCGATCATTCAAAAAATTGTTTTTCACTTCTCAGCACTATCCAACAAAAATGGAAATATATTAACCAAGTTAGAGGTACATGTTCTGGCAACAATCGAATTACAGTTCTACGAAATTCGTCCTGTGAAATGATAACCCAAGACAAAAAAATTGCCAATCATTTAAGTTATATTTTTTCAAACTTAGGCGAATTTTTCAGCGCTAAAAAGCCTCCGAATTACAACAAAGCTGCCTCTGAATCTGCACCTTTTCATTTTCAACACATTACAGTGAAGCAATGCTTTGATATAGTTCGAAAAATCAATGTTAGAAAACCTCTCGGACCTTGTACCGTACCTGGTTGGGCAATCATTGACGGTCAATCAGTTATAGTTCCACATTTAACTTTTGTCATAATTACTTGCTTAGATGAGAACATTTTCCCGATCGAACTGAAAAAAAGCAAACGTAACCCTTTTGTTTAAAAAAGATGACCCAATGGATGCAAAAAATTATCGGCCAATATCAATAACTTAAGCTTTTTCTAAAATTTTTGAAAAAATTTTACATGCCCAAATAACAGAACATCTTGACAAATTTCAAATAATGACACCATTTCAATTCGGATTTCGCAAAAACATTTCAACACAAGATGCTCTTGTTTATGTGACAGAAAGTATTCGAAATCAAATAGATTCAAAAAAAATTGTACATGCAGCTTTATTAGATCTGTCCAAGGCTTTTGATTCTACTTCGCATGAAGTTTTAATTGAAAAAATGCTTTATCTCGGTTTTCAAATGGAGCAAATGCTTTAATTGCTAGCTTCCTAAACAAACGTAATCAAAGAGTAAACGTCAATGGAATTTTTTCAGACTGGATTGAAATAAAACGAGGTGTCCCACAAGGAACGGTACTTGGTCCGTTGTTGTTCAATTTATATGTTAATGACATACAAGAGCGATTATATGAAGGTTGTACTTTAGTTCAATATGCTGACGACTGTATGGTTTTTTCCTCTTCTATAATTTCTGAGGATGCTTTGAATCGATTGCAAAAATCACTCAATAATCTAACGGAATTTTTTGCAGAGAACCAATTGAATCTGAATGCATCTAAATCGGAAATTATAACATTTTGTCAAAAAAATGATAGCAAAAATGTGGATACTGATAAACTAGTAATAAGTGGGCATTATGTAGCCAAAAA